CCTTTGTCTGACCCATCTGTAAACGAGCGTGACATAGGCCTACAACATAACATATATCAAATAAACAAATTATCTCTTGACTGATTGATCCTCTCTTTACAAACCGATACTAAATTCACATTTTAAAAATCTAACTTTTTCTCTCAATTACCATCAACTTTGTCATTACAACAGGAACAAACATATTGCAGAGGAACGTCCAATAGTATTCAATGCAGTGCTTTTAGTTACTTGTTTATTACATAAAGTATATGTTATCCTTATCATCTCAGTAAATGATTTTCCTCCTAAAGTTTATGGTTGAAGAACGTTATGGACTCTGCAAAGTGAAGATATCCAGGAGGATAGGTATATGGGCTTGAATTTGAAGCGCAGCAGTAAACATGAACTGTCCTCTGAGTCTATTATCTCTTTGTTCCATAGTCTAAAAAACACCTTGAGGGTGTTTCGCTATTCAAACACGTTTCTTTGACGTGAGAGTTTGGGTTTGTGTAACTGTACATAAGGGAGGTATTTAGCATGTACGTCACGGAAGTGCACCGCAAACAGGCCCTTTGATAGAAGGCCGGAGTCAAAGTGCCAAGTGTCAACGATGACATAGGTCTGGCCTTTACAACTCACAAATCCATTGCCTCTGGTTATCCCAAGTTCACTCTTAGTCTCGGCCATAGCATTGTGGACACTAAAAGCCTGGGAAACGAATAATATGACTTCTCTATATTTACAAATACAGAAGGGAGACATACTTGATAGTGTTGTGTTGTGATGATTAATGGTGTGGAAAGTGAATGATGAAGGTTGATAGTGTGCAGCGTGTGAACAGTACATGCAAGCCATTACGATAGCATGAATATAATATTCAACTATTTTCAAATAGCCTAAGTGATTTCAATTGTCAAAAGTAAAACTCTCTCTTTTTACTACATCATTGTATGTTTAATTGCCCATGATGCCTGATAAAAGTAAAATAAAAAGTAAAAAGGTCTTCATGAGGCTTCTGGGACAACTCCTGAAAGACACAACCACAGATAGAACAATGAGCAAGATGTTTCACCAGATGTATACATCTGAAGCATCATGTTGGCATTTCCACTCACCACCAAATATGGTGATGAGAGAAATCCCACTGGCCGGCAGTGGGAGAAGATGGAGCGAGATGGATTTTGGCTGACATTCTGCACATTTTTTCATAGATGAAAATGTGGATCTCAATACAGTTTCCTGTTCCCCAAACTAGAATCTGTTACGAACAGAGTTTCTAAAAATGGTGTTGTTTAGGAGGAGTCAGTGGTGTAAAGTACTTAAGTAAGATACTTTTAAGTACTACTTAAGTCGTTTTTTGTGGGGTATCTTACTTTACTTTACTATTTATATTTTTGACTACTTTTACTTCCCTACATTCCTAAAGAAAATTATGTATTTTTTACTCCATACACTTTCCCTGACACCCAAAAGTAGTCATTACATTTTGAATGCTTAGCAGGACAGAAAAGGGATCCAATTCACGCACTTATCATGAGAACATCCCTGGCCTTCTGTACTGCCTCTGATCTGATGGACTCACTAAACACACATGCTTCGTTTATAAATGTCTGAGTGTTGGCGTGTGCCCCTGGCTATCCGTAAATTAAAAAAAACTAGAAAATGGTGCTGTCTGATTTGCTTAATATAAGGAATTTGATACTTCAAGTAAAGATTCACCAATATTGAATGTTATTGTTTTTGTGCATCTCTGAGAAATGTTATATTGATTCCCTGGGTCAATTCCTGTGTCGATTTTAGCATGTAAATCTTGGTGAGGCAAAAAAAAAAAAAAAATGGATGCATGCCAGCAAAGCCAATACACAACACAACACTAAACAATACATTAATTGCACTATAACGGTGACAAACGGTGCCCACAAACTGTTAGGGCCTACATAAAGCTGTCCCAACAGCAGAGTCCCAACACCTTACCACCGCTACACCTGGCTATCAGCGGAGCCTGGTCTGGCAGCGAAACAGTTCATTCAGCCTCATTTACTGCCTTTAAAAAAAAACATAGCTGATATGGCTGACTTGCTTAAACAAATGTGGTTTCTACTGACAATTGAGATGTACAAACTATGGCATAAGGGGACGACAAGTGGATAAGAGGCAATCCGTAATTTTGATTAAGACAATGAGCGAGCTACGACGGACGTAGTCAATATAACTATTTGTTCAGCACTTTTGAAATGTACAGTGACAGAATTCAGAACATTGGCCATTCTTATAGTGTTCTCCCTGTACAGCAAGTTAGAACCATATGATAAATAAAGGGGGCATATAAGCAGACAATGAAAGCTCTTACAATATTCAATGATTACATTTCTCTAAAACAGGCTATAGGCTACATGTGCACCACCAAGTCAAAACAGTAGGTGAAAATAGACCAAATTAGGGTGAGGCACATGGGCTACTAACAGCTTACTACACAACATACACTTAGTATTACTTTCTTAGCTACAGTATACATATCTCCCTGGCATATTACATTATTTATGCAGCAGCATACAAGACATTTTTGGACTCACGTTGTTGTGCTGTGCTCACTTGAACAGGAAGGTGACGCGGCGGTCCTTCGTGGGCAAATGTTGTCATCAAAGAAAGAGGCTGGATTTACAATTCCGAGTTGATGACAGTTGTCTTGAACTCACTGGAAGTCAAGTTTTCGCAGTTCCGAGTTAACAGTTGTTTTGAGCGCGGCACATATCATGCTTCATTGACAGCATGGCCAATGTTGAATGTTTATCATTTTAAACTTGGAAAAGAGCCCTTTTAATCCCAGATTTGGGACACAGACACTCCACTGAATAGCAGGCTAGTGATTGCTTTGCAATGCTTGCAGTTAGCCACTGTCACCGATTCCTTCTAAACCACTCATTGTTGAATTTGCGATTTCCAACTTGTTTATGTACAATGGCCGATGAGCACCGATATGTTTTATCTATAATTTCTCTTCATTATTTCTCTTCATATGACAAGGATTAAACAGGATTTGCCAGTAGATTGTCGACTTGATTCATGATGATGACTGCTAGCTAAGATTTTGAAAGTAAGATGTTGACATGATCAGTCCAATCAAAGCTACTGTACATATAACATGATTTGACGTCATTTTATCTGTGGCCAATGACCTTGAGACTTCTTGGAAGGGCACTTCTAATGTAACTCTATGGCAGGACCCAAAGGGCTAGAATTGTTTATGTCTACCCTTACTAAGGACATGGACTTGGCGGTGAAGTAGTGTCCCAATGAGTAACAGAACACTGAGCCAATCACGGGGCAATGCTCCTATTTTCTGCTAGCTTGCCCCACCACCACAGAAAGCACTGAGCTAGGCTGAAACACATTTACATTACATTTTAGTCATTTAGCAGACACTCTTATCCAGAGCGACTTACAGTTAGTGCATACATTATTTTATCGAACCCACAACCCTGGCGTTGCAAACGCCATGCTCTACCAACTGAGCTACATCCCCTGCCGGCCAAATCCCTCCCCTACCCTGGACGAATTGTGCGCGCCGCCCCATGGGTCTCCCGGTCGCCAGGATCTCTAGTGGCACAGCTAGCACTGCGATGCAGTGCCTTAGACCACTGCGCCACTCGGGAGACTTAAACACCTGCATTTTGTAGCTGCCTTACTCAAGAAAACAAAAAAGAGACCATGTTTGTATGCAGCTTTATTTACTCAATTATAAATATATTTTTTACATTGTTTGCAAACTGATATGTAACACGTATTAATGCCAAAATAACATTTTTGCCAAAAATGTGGGGCTCAAAACCTGCCATGAATGACGGGTCGCCACTGGTCAATTCATGTTTTCATGTGCATCTGAGATATTGATGTTCAAGCAGGCAGAAATTCGGCCGGTATGACGTAGCATTACACTGGACGTTAATAGGAATACGACTCCTATTTGTCTGCCTCTTCAGTCCAGAGTGCATTGCATGGTGCCGTTACTAATGCCAGACTCCACTCTATGAGGCACATCGATCAGCACTGCAGGTTGAACATGGTGATATTGTAGACTCCTAAATTGATAGTGCCGTTTGTTTAGGCGAATTTACAGCTAACTAGCTACTTCACATGCTGTTATTGACTTTGGTATTATTGTGTATAGCTACGTTTGCTAGCTAGCTAGCAAGCCAGACCATAGAGAGAGCATTGCATTGTGGATTTTGTAGTCGACTTGAGCTGCAACAGATCTCCACAACGATTTGCACATGTTCAAATCAAATCAAAATATATTTGCCACATGCGGCGAATACAACAGGTGTAGACCTTACAGTGAAATGCTTCTTACAAGCCCTAAACCAGCAATGCAGTTTTAAGAAAATTAAGTGTTAAGTAAAAAAATTGAGTAAAAAATACTTAAGTATATTTAACACCAAATACTTTTAGACTTTTACTGGGTGACTTTCACTTTTACTTTAGTCATTTTCTATTAAGGTATCTTTTACTTTTACTCAAGAATGACAATTGGGTACTTTTTTCCACCACTGGAAGGAGTGCAAGGGCGAATTTAGTTATTGCACAGACCCGCTTCAGAGAGTAGGCGTTGTCCAAACGAAAGATCAAAATACATGCTAGAACGCGCCAATAGGATCTCGCTAGCAAGTGCCTCCTTGCTTGTTCTGCCCACCATGATTAATTTGCTCCAATTGGAAACGAGAAGGCCATGGTCTCTCTTGGGTTAGTTATAAACATCTTTGACACAACTGTTAATTTGAATGACGTTTTGTTATCTGGTTCATCAGAATGTTTATTGGAGCACCACCATGTGTTTTTGAATTGACAGAACTTCAGAGAAATTAGGCAAATCTGAATTAATTTGTAGGTCTACTGTTAGTGAAATAAACTAATCTGATTGCAGTAACATGAGACTGTCCCAAGGTGGCGTCAGAAACCGAGCTATGATGGTGTGCACTTATTTTCTTCCGACTGCCATGACAAAAAATGTCCAACTAATAATTGTTCCACAATAGCATGAAGTTGTGCGTTCCGCGCGTGTGTACATGGTGCCATGAGTGCTGATAATTCTTGTGCGGACGTATCAGTCCCTTTACGAAATGTCCTGAACTCGGTCCAGTGTGTTCGAGACCGAGTAAAAGGTAACTATGTGAATGTTGTTACCAGCTTTTTGTATTGATACGTTTACCATTTAGATAGCTTGCTTCAATCCAGAGCCATGTAATAGCTGTTGTTAGCTAGCAATATGGTGGTAGCTAGGAGCCTAGCTAGCTAACGTTAGCGGTCAGCAACACTGTTTTGATGCAGATAGTTGACATGGCGTGCCTTCTGAGGGAGCTTAATAAGTGTAGGGTGTTGTGTTTTAGCATATCAAGTCTTCCTAGCTAGCTCATGGTAGCTAAAGCTACAATTAATTATCTATGTAGATAGCTAATTAGCATATTCAGAAATTGTTGTAACGTTATTTGTTTATATTTGTCTTCAGATGGGGAGTCCAACGAGTCCAGTGGGATGTTCAACCTGTCAAACTTTTGGGATACGCTGAGTTGAGTTTTGCTTTCTTTAACACACAGCAGGATGTGTGACTCCATTGCGCTGACATTTCCTTAAGTATTTCCTTTGGTCTTCTTTCTAAGGCTTCAGTGATAAATAAAAAAAGCAGTGAATAACGCTAACCCTCCAATCCCCAGCTCAAGCAGTGAAAGCAGCCTCACAGGAAGCCACTAAACTCAGCCTTGCCTTCTCTAAGCCTCCCCTGCCAACACAAGAGGTAAAACTGAGTTTACAAATGTTTAGCTAGAAAATATGGTTCACCTCAGTGACTGTTACTCAAGGGTACAACAATTGTCATCATCCCTCATAGACACTGTGTGGTAGATGATATAAATCCATATGCTTGGTAGAATTAGGCTCATCCATAATTATTGGGCCAAAATATTGACTCAAACTACTGGGAAGCTGCCACCAGCGATGGGGGGAATGCAGACAGACACTGCAGTCAGACACTGCAGTCAGGCATGGAAGACCACGACAGGCAGTCTCCCAATCGTGGTGGTCCATGCCTCAAACTGTAGATTAAAACACGTCAAACAAATCCCAAAGCTGAAAGTCTGCAACATTAACCAATCCCCCTCAACCCTTCTTACACTTTGCTGCTGTATTCCCCATCATCTCTAAAACATGGGATTGAAGTTCAACTTTAATTGTGTTATAACCATAATGCTAGTAAACATTTTGTCATTAGTAAATGTTTACACTTCTTCCGCCTCATCAGGATGGTGAGAAGCTTGCTGAATCCATCCAGAAGAGCGTATTGGCACTATCCACTGTCTATTACTGGTTGCCCAAAAGCCATGGTAAGCTACAGTAAATGCAGAAAGTGTCTGCATGTAGGACTGATATTGGAGGGATATATAGATATTGGAGGGCTATATAGGCCTAGTTGTTGGAATTATTACCCTGATCAATAAGGAAATACTCAGATTGCTTGAAGTCAACATAATATGCAGTGTGGTGGCTGAAGATGACAGAATCATGTCTGTTCTACGAAATAAATTCCCAAATGTATTCTCCAATATTTTATTTTCTCTATTACGCTGTGTGCACTGAACTGACATGCATGATTGTTGCTGACACTGATGTTCAGATGAAGGGAATTAAATAGTCTATAACGCACACCACCGCGGCCCTCAACTCAAACAGTGTTGTGTAGCCTACTGTAGCTGCTGGCAAAGTCATTCAAACCCTATACTTTATCACTCAGGATGGAACTTTCCAGTGGTACTATTTTTGCCATGTAATGTTATTAAAACAAAAACAGCCAACCCCATAATAGAATAGTTTACCTTTTTACCTAGTCGGCTTGTGTGTTCTATGCAAGATAAATATTCAGTTTGAGGCGCATTCAAGTTGCGAGAGCCATAGGGAGGGAAACATGTATTTTGACAAGCAGTCAATGCACAACAATTCGTAATGCAATCGCAGGAAACAGGCTTTTGAAAGCAGCTTTTGCCTTTGTTAAAAAAGAGGGATCCAAGCATTCCATTGCTACCACATTTTTTTCCCCCTACTCCTACAATTGCGTGTGGCATAAAAAAGCATGGATTGGGCACAGCTGCGCAACAGAGCTCTTAATAAAGGGGCAGTGGCATCTTACAAGGGCAATGAAATGCTTTATATATATAAAATAAAATAAAAATCTTAGTGAATAATAATAATCAGGATGTTGTGTAGCTGATAGTGCTTATTGCTAGTGACACATCTGATAATATAGACGTGGTCCAATATGTTAAAATGTTAACATAATGTTTACCAATATGTAATTGGGCTCATTTCTGGAGTTGCAAGTTCTATTTTAGATCTGAGATCGACTTAACTTTCAGTCAGGTTTTGTTGTTGTTGCTACCCATGATTAACTCTACGGAAGATAGTTGTCTTTCACTTCTCTCCTACTCCTTGTGTAGGTATCACATTGAGGAGACTGGTGAGAGATGCCACAGCTGAGGTGCTAGATGGCATTGTGCAACTGGTGGACGTCATCGTCAGTTCCCCACTACAGAGGTAGCACTGCCCACAGCTTTGAAACAGGCTACTTTGATATGCATTACAATGTTAAGGCTAGTTATTAGTTAGAATTCCAACTAAAACGTCTTCACATAGCTATTTACTGTGCAGGATTTGTTATTGCCTACATTTGGAATGCAGGAGTTTGGAATTGAACAGAGTCATTTAGGGGGGGAACGACGTCAAATCATGACGGCCATGATCTTCAGGTCGGAAAGTCGGAGCTCTAGAAAGATCCCAGAGTTTCCGACTTGGAATTCCGAGTTGGATGACCGTTCAAAAGATTTTTCCCAGTCGGATCTAGTTTTTTTCCAGAGTTCCCAGTTGTGTTGAATGCACTGAAGTCGGAAGTCAGATATTTCTGAGTTCCGAGTTCCCGTTTGTTTTGAACAAGGCATTAGTATCCGCGGAGGGAGGGATAGAGCAGCAGAGGGTTTGCTGCTCACAGTCCCTGCTCTCTCCTTCCTTTCCTCCGGTGAAACTGACCAGAGAGAGGGGACACAGTCGTCCACCTGATGGCAAAACTCGAGTCGCTCTGCATCTGCCTCATGCACAAATTCATGTTGTTCCTATGACCAGAGAAAGTGAAATATTCCTCGAGCTTCTGAATCAAGTGTGCCTACCACCAACAGTGCAACACAACACAAAAATACAAATTTTGCGCAAGCCTTTATCATTGGCTTTTCTATATAAATGTTTGGTGATCGACTAGGAATGCCTTGAAGATCGACCAGTCGATCACGATTGACCGGTTGGTGACCACTGATGTAGACAGTACAACATTAGGAAAAGTGGCCAATTTTGTTTTTTGGGTGAACTTCGCCTTTAGCATGTCAACTATACCAGTAACCAGGTTTCCATCCAAACATTTAATGTGGCCGGGCTGATGGAAAAAGGAAATGTCGGTACAATTTCATAAATGCCGAAAGACAATTTGTTTGTTCGACATGGTGGGATCTTTTTGTGTCAGTAAAATTTATTATGTGAGAAATGGTGGTGGAAACACCATTTATGTGCAAATACTGATCATATCGAAGTAAACTTGGAGTCACGCGATGATATGTTGTGTGGTCTTCCCACTACGACTCGGGAAAGCATGTGGTTTATTAGGCAACAGATTAAATAAGTTATGAACTTCACAGGGTGGTGAAAGTGCACAGCGACGAGCTTGATGCTCCTTTCCAATACATATCGAGGGTCCTGTTCTGGTGACATGATGATCGATGCTTGGCTGTCATTTGACAAATAGAAATCTCGCTCTTAATAGCATCATCATGTAGGCTAGCCTACCTGCACTGTATCTGTTGGCTAGAGCGCACGTGCAAAGACTCGAGTGGGCACATTTGCTATATAACGCAACAGTTTATGTGACAAAACCATCGGTAGAGTTGAAAATGCGATTGAAACCCATCTTAACTTGTATTTTTTTATTCGGTACATGGGAATTTAACCGTAAAGTTATTAGTATGTGCACTACGTCATCACGCACAGCCTTTAATCCGCACAAGTCAATTTCATGGAAACATCTCTGGTGGGAAAATGTGCGTATTGTTTTAATGCATATATTAGAATTTTCGCATGAAAATCTGTCGCCAATTGGATGGAAACCTAGCTAGTGTCTGTTGGACATAGTAGAATTATACCGTTTTAATGAAGGACCTACAATACTTACTAAAGCTTTTTTATTATTTAGTTTATCACAGGAACAGCTCCAATCTACGGGTGGGGTATGGTCAGCGTGTGACCAGTTTGCACACTTACCAAGAGGTGAGTAAACTTTACAGAATCCATCTAGTTCAGCATGGTGTAACATACTGAACGTTGCAGATAGAAACGCCATGAATAGAGCTGGCATGATTGCTTACTGTACATGTCAGATAGACACGACTTCACACAACATATTTCTATCTGAACGTTCCACAACGGTTTGCCCTGCTGAACGCAGCCCTGAGCCTCCATGTCCAGAAAGGTATACTACGAAGCAAGCTATATCTACTCAGGGTTTTTAAAGATAGCCAGCTTCAGTTAGCTTCCATTCCTGCTCAGGCTTCATACGTACTATGACAGTGGATATTGCTCGTCTGCCTGCCGCTAACTCTAGCAGCCTTGTAACTGCGTGTGCATGTCACACCTGGCTAGTCAAACGGCGAACTCTTCAGTAAGACGATGCTGAAACATCAATCACAAAGTCTTGCAAATTCAGCAGGCTATCGTGTGAAATTTACTTTTAGAAGTGCCGTCTTTATTTTTATTACTTTGGTGTGGTTATCAATGCACGAGCAGCTTTCTTCTCCACTTAATAATTTTATTAAATCATACAAATGTTTTTCTGTGTGTGAAGTTTCCAATGCGTTTGCCATTACTAAATGTGTAATGTGGTAGGTATTTGAACATTACTATTTTTTAACACACAAAAACACATTTGATTAATACATATTTAATCAGTCTTCCTCAAATCAAGTGGATGATGACGCAATCTTTGCGAGAGGGAGGGAATCTGATTTCATTGGTCCTCATCTTGCGCCTCAGACACTTCATTCAGGATAAATGTAGTTAGCCCTGAGTTAGCCTGCCCCGGAGTAGGTTAGATCTGAAGGATTCGTTACCATAGAAATGTACCTGGATAAAAGGTGAGCCAATTTCGTGGTACCGGTTATCCCAAGTTGAACTCAGAGTTGACTAAAGTTACCTCGCTAACTCCTCAACTTACATTCGTAGTATAGGGCTCTGTTAAATCCTTAATTGTAAGAATAACAAAGCGGCCACCCTGCTTCTGTTTTAATAAAAAGCTGAGGGATGGGCCTGGAGAAATTGAACACCTCTCCATAGACAGAGCTATGGAAGGAAGGACTGACCATCCGTGATATCAAAATTATAGTTGTAACCATGTTTTGAGGCTATACAGTGTTTGTTTACATTTACGTTGTTTACAAACATTGGAGACAAACAAGCTTATATTTTGGGTTCTGATTGGGTACGACAGTTGATCAAAGCTCATGAGGCATTTATAAGTATTCGTTGCTGTGAAAAAGTTTCTAATTTTCTCAACTTTTGCATGTTTTTGATACTGAATGTTATCAGATCTTCAACCAAAACCTAATATTAGATTAAGGGAACAAATAACACAACAATTAAATACAGTGGGGGGAAAAAGTATTTAGTCAGCCACCAATTGTGCAAGTTCTCCCACTTAAAAAGATGAGAGAGGCCTGTAATTTTCATCATAGGTACACGTCAACTATGACAGACAAATTGTCTGTAGGAAAACCTCCTTCCATCAGCAAGGGCATTGAAGATGAAACGTGGCTGGGTCTTTCAGCATGACAATGATCCCAAACACACCGCCCGGGCAACGAAGGAGTGGCTTCGTAAGAACCATTTCAAGGTCCTGGAGTGGTCTAGCCAGTCTCCAGATCTCAACCCCATAGAAAATCTTTGGAGGGAGTTGAAAGTCTGTGTTGCCCAGCGACAGCCCCAAAACATCACTGCTCTAGAGGAGATCTGCATGGAGGAATGGGCCAAAATACCAGCAACAGTGTGTGAAAACCTTGTGAAGACTTACAGAAAACGTTTGACCTGTGTCATTGCCAACAAAGGGTATATAACAAAGTATTGAGAAACTTTTGTTATTGACCAAATACTTATTTTCCACCATAATTTGCAAATAAATTCATTAAAAATCCTACAATGTGATTTTCTGGAGGAAAAAAAAATCTCATTTTGTCTGTCATAGTTGACGTGTACCTATGATGAAAATTACAGGCCTCTCTCATCTTTTTAAGTGGGAGAACTTGCACAATTGGTGGCTGACTAAATACTTGTATTCCCCCACTGTACTTATTTCAATTATTTCATAAACAAAGTTACGTAACACCCAATGCCCCTGTGTGAAAAAGTAATTTTCCCCCTTACACTCTAACTGGTTGTGCCACCTTTAGCTGCAATGACTCCAACCGAATGCTTCCTGTAGTTGTTGATCAGTCACTCACGTCGCTGTGGAGGAATTTTGGCCCACTCTTCCATGCAGAACTGCTTTAACTCGGTGACATTTGTGGGTTTTCAAGCTTCTCGTTTCAAGTCCTGCACAACATCTCAATTGGGATTAGGTCTGGATTTTGACTAGGCCATTCCAAAACTTCAAATGTGTTGCTTTTTAGCCATTTTCATGTAGACTTGATTGTGTGTTTTGGATCATTGTCTTGCTGCATGATCCAGCTGCGCTTCAGCTTCAGCTCACAGACGGATGGTCGGACATTCTCCTGTAGAATTCTCTGATACAGAGCAGAATTCATGGTTCCTTCTATTAACGCAAGTCGTCCAGGTCCTGAGGCAGCAAAGCATCCCCAAACCATCACACCACCACCACCATGCTTGACCTTTGGTATAAGGTTCTTACTGTGGAATGCAGTGTTTGGTATTAGGAAGGCATAATGGGACCCATGTCGTCCAAAAAGTTATACTTTTGACTCATCTGTCCATTCTTCCAAGAGTCTTGATGATCATCCAGGTGCTTTTTGGCAAACTTGAGTCCACTTTTTGGGCGAGATGGGTCCTATTATGTCTGGCGAAAACCAAACACTTCATAATACTTGGCTCAACAAGCTGATTCTCTAGTCTAGAACATATGTTTCTGACAAAGATAAGCTGTGTAAGAAAAGGATGATCCATTTTGATTGGCACCCAAGTAATCAAGTGTTTTATGTACAAGAAAAACTATGCCAAAGCAATCATCACCAACTGTGTACATTCCCATGTTAGTACAGTATTTTGGTGTAAAAACCATCTATAGTATATCATGTCTGGCCCAGAGCCATAAATATACATGGTTAGGCATGCAACTGCTGATGTAGAAAGGGCTGTATAAATCAATCTGATTGATTGGTTTTCGGAACATATGGCCATAAGAGCATGTCTGTGCCTGTCGTGTTTGTCCATGCAGATAACCGGGCAGCAGTGCTGGGGGTCTTGGAGTCCTATATCGGGGTGGTAAAGGATGCCATAGAGGAGATGGAACAGGTGCCCTTTTACTCTTTCACCGACGATTGCATCATTTCACTTCTCACCACATTTTCTTCAGGAAAATAACCCTTTTTCAAGTTGTTGTAGCTAACTTGATAGAAATGGCTGTACACGTTTTCCATGAATACATTAGCATTTTCACTGAGCTGAAAATGTCATGTCACCTTACGTTGCCATGTCGTCTCGAATGTCTCCGTGTGTCCTTTTGTATCCTACACTTGTCCTCTCATGTTCGCTTGGCTGTGTCCCAATAATATCTAATTTCCCCCCCCCCCTGAAGTGTACACTCGTTCACTACACAGCATTGGATTTCTGGACGCAGGAGGGAGTTTCCACCATATATGTCTTATACCAGTCATTTCCTTTTAAATCAGTGAAAGGAAGTGAACAAGTGCACACTTTGGGAGGAAGGAACAATAATTGGGACGTAGCACTAGTTTGTATCCTCAAATCCCCTCTCTCTCCCCCTAGGCGCAGGCTGAGAGCCAGGACCCATTCAGTGACGTGCTGGATGACGAGGACCTGGACGCGCGGGGCAACCAGGACACGTACTGGTCCGAGGAGGACCGCCAGCTCATTGCGCCCTGCCAGGGCCTGATGAAAGCATCCGCCGCCTGCCTGAGGAAGCTGTTGTCCGCCGTCAAGGCCAATGGCAACGTAAGCATGCCGGAGTGTGTGGCGCAGCTGGACGACCTGGCCGACATCGCCAAGGAGGTCAGCCCCAGGTAAAAGAGGATGGTTGATTCCAAATCCACTCCTAGCTCTTTCCTCGCCTATGCAGTTAAAGGGATGGATAAGTTAAGGCAGTTAAGCATACACAAGTGCTTATTAGGGTGTAGGGGCTAGGCTAGGGGGTTGATTTGGTCTTGGGCAGAGGATATTGAAGGTGTCATCAAAACAGCCCTTTGATCCTTTGGTGTGTTACTAAGGGTGTTTCTCTCAGCTAGTAAAAGCTATTCCATTGGTGTGACAGGACAAAATCGTGTACAGTGCAATTTCTAGCTTGTAACTTCACACCTAGTATACATTGACACGCCATAAAAGCACTCACTGAAAAATACTTTATAGAATATTTCACTTTGACAACAATTCTAGTCTAATGCACTACTCAGAAGTTCCGTAGATGATAATATGAAAACGTTTCATGGGCACTCTCCCCCTAGCCTATTTGATTCACCCTTATCATATGAATAATCCATTAGAGAATGGTTGAATTACTCTCACCACAAAGAGTTATGTTTGTATGTCGCCTGCTCTTAACCTTATTAAAACCGTGACACACACACACTTATGCAGGCAGGATATATTGTGCAGGGGTGGGGCGGCGGTAACTTTCCCAAAATTCCATGGTTTTCCAGAAATCCCGGTTGGGATTTAGTAAACCAATTAGTAAACAGAATGATACAACTACACTGAATGCCAGCTCCACTCATGTAATGACCGAGGAGAATAGTTTGTTCTCATGCGTGTGCTTCAGTAGCCAAAGTATATAGTGTCCACACCAGACCCTTACCTTGGGGACGAGGTCACAGTATATGATAGATCTAGTAATCTTTGCAATACACTTAAATCAGGAACCAACACTTGTTTATAGGGTTGACCTCTGACTGACTCTCTCTGTGTGCTTCCAGTGTTGATGACCTGGCGCTCAGTCTCTACCCACCCATGGATTACTCAGGAGTGGATCAAAACGTAAGGCGCTTGGATCATTTGTGTCATAGACAGTGTGTATAATTAAGTGATTGTATGTCACTCATGACGAAAGGCGTGCTGTTTAATTGGAAGTGGTGGCTCCAAATTAATGACAATATTTAAATGTGTCCTTTGTTACTGCTATTAGGTGTTCCTTATTGAAAGGCTTTGTTGAAGTAGTTGAACCACAATAGGAGAGGAGACAGATAGCTTGGCATGTTGTATACATACTGCATGCTGCTGAAGTATGTTTGGGATGGCTTGTATTGTTAAAGCAACATTTTACTTTTATGATGTTTCTTCCTACTGGGCGTGCTTCCTTTGGTACATGCCCCATAGAAATAGAATGTAGATGACATTTCTATGACATGCCTTACTAGTCACTTAGGAATGACACACCCTCTCTCTGTCTTCATTCCAGGCATGTAAACTGACCTTGGTGCTAAAGAAAGTGTTGGATATCATCAGGTGTGTACAGAAGGGCTGGTTTACCAACCTGTTAGGTTTTCTTTCACCTGTTGGCTACTGAATCATCCACTTGGCAGAACTGGCTTCTGTCAGACAGTACAGTGGCAACGGAGGAGCAACAGTCTACCGAGAGCCGCTAGTTTCTGTTGCATCATGGTTGTAGGAAGGAAGCCAGCCATTACACCTTCATGAGAGAAATAATGACTTAAGTTGCTCCTTACATCACCGCTCACTTAAACTCTTTCCGTGTCTCAATATTATTAGTTTCCTCCTTTTTGTTTTTCTTCAAGGGGACCAGTCTGAGAGGATTTGATAGGTGGATGAATGAGGGAATAAAGAAAAGGATAGCTTTTTAGTGTACTGTACTGTGACACAGCCCTCTCACTCACTCTCGTCCTCCTTCCTCCTCAGGGCGAGTCACGTGTGTTTAGAAGCAGACCTGAACTGGGTGCAGTTTCTGGACGGGGCCCTGGATCACAACCTACAGAAGATCAAAGCTCTGATTCAAGGCTCCAGCTAGACGATGAGTGGAGGGTGTGCGTGAGGCGAATGGAGACAAGGGTGTGCGTGTTTATGGAGAAAGGAAAGGTGTGCGCATGTGTGAAGAGGACTGGGGGCCTGAGCTCAATGGACTGGGACTTTGTTGAATGTTACAGAAGTGTGTGTACTTCCCCCTTGTGTACACACTCTCTATACATCATTTAGACAGCAGACATATTACCAACTTTACTGCAAGCCAAACATTTGCAAAACATAAAAATCTTGTTTCATGAGTGTATAAATATTTATAGATGGATTTAGGCTTTACGACTCATAAAGCCAGACGCTTTGCTGTTTGGAAAGCTTTCTCTAATCAACAGGCTTGAATTTACAAAGAACAATAACAAGAAGATGCCGTTTGCATATACCTCTGTTTTCATAGCATTTCTACACTGTCAAACTATAGTATTATACATTGAGGGAAAGCGATTTCTGTGTACTTCTGCTGCCCACTTTTTAATCATTTGAATTTTTGCAGAATATTGTTCAACAATTTGACTATCAACAGTAATGAAGACCATGCTATAAAATTTGATTTTTTTTTTATTACATCTCAATGACCGGCACTATGTAAATACAAAATAAAAGTAACTCGCCCCTTGCACTCAAACATGAGCAGGATTACATTTCTTCTTCAGAAGTGGTAGTTATTCTTCACGAGGGCTTTACGATCTCTGCCTGTAGACACCGGTAAAGGGTTTGACGTCCACATTGCAGCTTGCCTTAATATCCCTGAATTGGCCAGTCTAATTTCAACACTAGCTTCTTTGGAGTGAAGGGCACCTGCACACGTTCCCGATGCCCTGGTTTTATGAGCATATTATACCTCAAAACATTTTTAGACCTCTAAACTACAAACACACACAAGGTTGTGTGTAAAATATTACAGATGAGAAAACTCAAAGCTTTAACCACATGACCAACCCATGGATGAATGCATGTCCTTTTTAGTTTAGCCAAGAGCTCAATAATCTCTCATGGACAGATGACATAAATGGTATTGTAAAGTCTGTCAAAAGATTGGGACATGACAACTAATGAGCAACTGTAGTTCCGGTGCTTTGGTTTTCCGTCACTGGTTATTTGGACATATAAGGATTGGGTAAAGGTAGTGCTGATGCTGAAAGTGGGGGAAGGGATTTCAAGCAGAAAGTTTTTGGAAGAGGGGCGTTTGCTGACCGTTTCTGTTTAGAGGGTTGGAGACTTCGCTAGTCTCGTTAGTATCTCTTCTCATACATCTCCCGCCAGAACCGAATCAAGCATCTGAGGCAATTACGTGAGATTTTAGTTCTGGGTTTCCAAGATTAAGAGCTAAATAGTTGGGTGAATTCCACATCCAGGATTCAAGTCTGGACACATGGATATTTAGGTTTTATGACAAACTGAAACCTAGTTCGTAAAGACCGCAGAGAAATGTCACATTCCACTGGGCACAAACTGGTTAAATCAACATTGTTTCAATGTAATTTGTCAACGTATTGTGACGTAGAATCTATGTGGAAAATACATTGGATTTGAAAAAAGTAATCAACGTAAAATGTTTTGAGGGTAAGAATTTCAACCACGTGATTGTCATGGTAACCAATTTTCTACTTATTTTTTTACAAGGTTTCTCTATGCTGAATTTGCACCTTTGAAACAACGTCAGATCTTCAACGTAATATCCACTTTAAGAAAAAAACAATAGGGTGGGCAGCACCTCCTACTGGAGAGTTGATATATCTACAGCTATCCCTTCGGTCTCCTATCCAGGGATTTAACTAAGCCCAGCACTGTTTAGCTTTGATATTGTCACTGACTATTACCAATGTGCCATTGTGAGAATTATTTGAGAAATCAACACTTAATATATTCACTGTTGCTATCGAAGTCATTCCAAAGGGTAGGTTCAACAGAGCAAGTGAAATGTAACCATACTTTATCAATCATATATCATCAATGATGCTATTTAGTCCTATATAGCATTTGGGAAGTTATCAACAGATATTTTTTTAATTCAACCCAGGTTTAAACTAAAAATAGACAATACATATAGGCCTAGGGTTTCAAGTTTTGGTTGATTTCAAATGGAATCTGATTTCAAATGGAATTCAGACCTCCATCTCAACCAAAAATCTTAATTAAAGAACCGGATTAAGCCAGGGGCTCAGATGGAACTATCCAAGCGCTCCATTGCTCCACGTCCTATCCAACCACTCAGCTAAAAACCGCTCCTCACTCACAGGAAAAAAAGCTGCCTCTCCATTCATTAAAATCACAATTTAATCAACACTTGGACCCTACCATTTGGTTTTTAAATATTAAAACCAAAACATATGATTTAGAATAACAATTATTTTAATAAACAGCATGACCCCGTGTAGCTCAGTTGGTAGAGCATGGCGCTTGCAACGCCAGGGTTGTGGGTTTGTTTCCCACGGGGGGCCAGTATGAAAATGTATGCACTCACTAACTAACTGTAAGTCGCTCTGGATAAGAGCGTCTGCTAAATGACTAAAATGTAAAATGAAAAGGTGACTGTAAGAAGCGCTCATCATTTCGAATAGGCTACATGTCGTATTAAACACCATATAAACACTAAATAGGTCAGGAGCCAGACAGGTAGCCTAAGAAGGAACGAAAATGAATTATTTAGGCTATATTATTTCAAGCCTACAGCCTCCAAATAAATGAATTGTGAAGCATTTGCGAATGCGACACTAGGCTGGCAGGGACATTAAGCGCTCAGCATTCAAACAACATTTTGTTGTATTAAATCATTATAGTCTATAATTTGCACATATAGGCTGTGACTTATTTAGAATTAAATACAGATTAAATGAAAAATGCCTTATTAGGCTCATGCCATGGTGCCTGGAGAGCAGGCCAGCAGTGGAGAATATCCTCTCCGTGCTTGCTGAGCCACTGGGGATGCTAAACACCCTTTGGGCCGCTCTTGCCAGGCTGGGGGCAGGGATGCAGAGTTTTAGTTTTTTTCTATAGGTAGGCCTAAAGTTTTTAGGCAAAATAACCCTATCAAAACTGAAAGCTTCTTGAAATAGGTAATATGCCAGGCCTATTGGGCCAAACTCATTGATGGCCTATTGTATAGATAATAGAATAAAAATGAACAAAACTTTTTAAGAGATCAGATTTTTAGTTTATAAATACTTTGCTACAATGACACACTTAGCTAGCTACCCACCTCGTTCCTTTCTGTTAGCATGTGCACATATTAAGTACACCATCATGCTTTCGGTATACGTATCTTTTCAGATTCCACAATGATTATTTAGTTGTGGACACTACATCACCCCACTCCTCTTGCTCTTGGTCCTCCTCATCTTTGTATGTGACCTTGATTTTGTACCTGTGTGTTTGATCAGTTTCTTTATGAAAATATTTAGCGAACTCCATGACAGTAGCTAAAGCAAGGGGCTATAGCAGCACACACATAGACTACAAATGCATGCTGGGCCGGGCATACCCTGAGCTTCTAAAGTAAGCACTCTTTGTAGTGAAATTGGAGCGGGGGAGAAGGCCAACGCTCCAGGCTTTTGGGAAACTCGCTCCGCACTCCAGTCAAATTGGGCACGCTCAGCTCCAGCTCGACTCCGCTCTGGTGTGCGTAGAGCCAGTGCAAAACAATTAAGATAAATAATAAACGTGGTCAATGTAAATTGTCTGGGTAGCCATTTGATTAACTGTTCAGCAGTCTTATGGCTTCGGGGTAGAAGCTGTTCAGGTGCCTTTTGGACCTAGACTTGGCGCTCCAGTACCGCTTGCCGTGTGGTAGCAGAGAGAACAGTCTATAACTTGAGTGGCTGGAGCCTTCCTCTGACACCGCCTGGTATAGACGTCCTGGATGGCAGGGAGTTGGGCCCCACTACCTTCTGTAGCGCCTTGCGGTCGGATGTCGAGCTGTTGCCATACCATGCGGTGATGCAGCCAGTCAAGATGATCTCAGGCACGCATATCTGAGGGGCCACTGTGTTAAGAGTCAGCATGGAAGATGTTTTGTTGCCTACCCTCACCACCTGGGGTGCAGATGGAGGTGTTCAGTTCCCAGGGTCCTTAGCTTAGTGATGAGCTTGGAGGGCACTATGGTGTTGAACGCTGAGCTGTAGTCAATGAACAGCATTCTCACGCAAGTGTTCCTTTTGTCCAGGTAGGAAAAGGCAATGTGGAGTGCAATAGAGATTGTGTCATCTGTGGATCTGTTGGGGCAGTATGTGAATTGGGTTTGGTCCAGGGTTTCTTGGATGATGATGTTGATGTGAGCCATGACTTTCAAAGCATTTCATGGCTACAGATGTGAGTACCGTCTGGCTGGGTCTTCCAGCATGACAACGGCCCGAAACACACAGCCAGGGCAACTAAGGAGTGGCTCCGTAAGAAGCATCTCAAGGTCCTGGAGTGGCCTAGCCAGTCTCCAGACCTGAACCCAATAGAAAATCTTTGGAGGGAGCTGAAAGTCCGTATTGCCCAGCGACAGCCCCGAAACCTGAAGGATCTGGAGAAGGTCTGTATGGAGGAGTGGGCCAAAATCCCTGCTGCAGTGTGTGCAAACCTGGTCAAGACCTACAGGAAACGTAATCTCTGTAATTGCAAACAAAGGTTTCTGTACCAAATATTAAGTTCTGCTTTTCTGATGTATCAAATACTTGCAAATGAATTACTTAAATCATACAATGTGATTTTCTCACAGTTGAAGTGTACCTATGATAAAAATTACAGACCTCTACATGCTTTGTAAGTAGGAAAAAATACTTGTTCTCCCCACTGTAGGATTTCTATTTGCCATATATATTTCAACTGTAATGTGATGTCTTACAAAAGTTCTGAACCTTTCTATTCTCATTGTTTCTACAGATTGTGAATTGAAAATAAAAAATGTTGCTAATAGTATTATTATATTATTGATCGATTTACTATGACTTTTCAGATCACCCAGTAGTGCTATCTGCAGGGTAACTCCAGGTAAATATTACAATCCTTTAGCCGTTCCTGGACCTGTGTCTAAAAACAAGCTACAAATGGACAGTACCAAAACAAATGGTCTAATGATTCTGTCTCTACGCAGCAAAATCTGCAGAGCTGGGAAGATTGTATCCCCCATATAAATAACATTCTATTGGTAGCAAGAATTTTATATAATAATTTAATTGAAATATTCTAAGTTTTGAATCCGGTGTCGTTTTGCGTATCAGTTCATAAACACTATGCCATGGGATCGGTACGTCAAAAATCTCTGAAACTGATATACCTTTTTATTTATCACAGTTTTCCTTAACCAATTATGTTCTTTAATGCAAGGCCGACAGACAAGTTCCTTACTTTCTCCTCCTTCCACTTTCCTCTTCCATTTTTGCGGTAAGGGTGCAATTATTTGGTTGTAATTTTGGGTAGAGCAGACATTTCCATATGTTTTTGTTAGCTGCATGTGCGACATAACTCCACCAGTCCTGCCGATGATATCATTTACAAAGATTATACCTTTTTTAAACATTTTGTCCAAAAAAAAAAAAGGTTTTTTGTCAATTAGTATTTTTGAGTTTAACCACAATATTTGTTGCATTATTTGTTCTGTCGTTTCTGGAGGATTATATTGAAATTGCAACCAACTTTCTATGGCTTGTTTTAGAAATAGTGATATCTGGGAGATGATTTCCTTTTCAAATAACTGAAAGTGAGTGGTTGTAATCTGAATAACGGCCATTCTTGAACATTGGGTGAGACAATCTTACTAATTTGCTAGAGAACCAGTTCGGATTTAAGTATAACTTTTGTATGACTGAAGCTTTTAGTGATAGGTCTAATGCTTTAATATTTAATAATTTCTGTCCTCCGAATTCATATTCATTATATAAATAGGCCCGTTTAATTTTGTCTGGCTTGCCGTTCCAAATAAAATGGAATATTTTTTTCTCATAATTTAAAAAACTGTTCGCTAGGCGTAGGCAAGACCATAAGCAAATAGGTAAACTGGGATAATACTAAAGAGTTAATCAGGGTGATTTTTCCACAAATTGACAGGCACCCACCTTTCCATGGTAGCAAGATCTTATCTATTTTTGCTAACTTTCTATTATAATTTATTGAAGTGAGATCATTTATTACCTTTGGGATATGTATTCCGAGTATATCCACATCACCATCAGACCATTTTATTGGTAAACTACATGGCAATGTAAAAAAAATTTATTTTTATTGATCCAATACGTAATATAGTACATTTGTCATAATTTGGTTGTAATCCAGAGAGGTTAGAAAATGTATCTAGATCCTCTATGCGGCTGTGGAGTGATTCTAGTTGTGGATTTAAAAGAAAACATGAATCATCAGCGTACAATGACACCTTTGTTTTAAGCCCTGGATTTCTAATCCCCTGATATTATTGTTGGATCTGATTTTAATAGCTCACATCTCGATGGCCACAATAAATAGATATGCCGATAGTGGACAACCTTGTTTCACTCCTCTTGACAGTTTAAAACTTTCTGAGAAATAGCCATTATTTACTATTTTGCACCTAGGGTTAGTATACATGATTTTGACACATTTTATAAGAGATTCACCAAAATTGAAATGCTCCAGGCATTTATATATAAACCCCAGTCGTACATGATCAAATGCCTTTTTGAAGTCTACTATGAATAGCAGGCCTGGTTTCTCCGATTTACCATAATGTTCTATTGTTTCCAATACTTGCCTTATATTATCTCCAATGTATCTTCCATGTAAAAAACCTGTCTGATTAGAATGAATAATATCCAACAATACCTTTTTAATTCTATGCGCTATACATTTTGCTAGAATTTTTGCATCACAACACTGAAGTGTAAGGGGCCTCCAATTTTTTTAATGGACTGCATCTTTATATTTTCCACTTGTATCCTGTTTCAGTAATAATGAGATCAGACCTTCTTCTTGAGTGTCAGATAATCTACAATTTACATAGGAGTGGTTAAAACATGCTAATAACGGTCCTTTTAGTATATCAAAAAAGGTTTGGTATACCTCGACTGGTATGCCATCCAACCCTGGAGTTTTCCCGGACTTAAAGTCTTTAATTGCATCCAGAAGTTCCTCCTCTGTAATTTCACCTTCACATGAGTCTTTCTAAATGACTAAAATGTAAATGTATATGGCTGTTAATTTTACATTATCAATAGAAAAAAACATCTCTACAATTAGCTTCAGTTAGAGGAGATGGAGGCGACTGAAACGAAAACATATGCTTAAAGTACTTTGTTTCCTCCTTCAAAATATAATTTGGTGAATCATGGGTTACTCCGTCAATTGTAACCAGTTTCATTAAATACTTTTTGGTAGCATTCCTATGTTGAAGATTAAAAAATAATTTTCCCCATATTCCTTCCAGTTTGCTTTATTTTTATAATATTTTACACTTGATCTTTCTTGAATAAGTTTCTCAATTTCTTTTTGTTTTTCCTCTAATTTATTCTGAGCCTCTATGTTACAGTTTTTATTGCCATCTATCTGTTCTGTTAGACTTTCTATTTCCTTTGTTAGTATCAACTCTTTTGACCTAAATTACTTTTGTTTTCGAGATGAGTACTGAATTGCATGGCCTCTAAAGGCACATTTAAAGGTGTCCCATACAATAAGGGGATCTGTTGTACCTATGTTATGTCGGAATAAGTCAGTTATAAATTCCTTTGTCCTAGTTAAAAATAAATCATCATCCAGTAGGCTTTGATTAAATTTCCAATATCCTTGCCCACGTGGAAATTCAGTAAGAGTAATGTATATGCCAATTATATGATGGTCCGACCGCATTCTGTCCCCTATCAACACTTTTTAAACTTTTGGTGCCAACGAGAATGAGATAAGAAAGAAGTCAAGACGACTAGCTTGATTGAGTCTCCGCCATGTACAGTGGGGAAAAAAAGTATTTAGTCAGCCACCAATTGTGCAAGTTCTCCCACTTAAAAAGATGAGAGGCCTGTAATTTTCATCATAGGTACAGGTCAACTATGACAGACAAATTGAGAAGAAAAGAAATCCAGAAAATCACATTGTAGGATTTTTAATGAATTTATTTGCTAATTATGGTGGAAAATAAGTATTTGGTCACCTACAAACAAGCAAGATTTCTGGCTCTCACAGACCTGTAACTTCTTTTTTAAGAGGCTCCTCTGTCCTCCACTCGTTACCTGTATTAATGGCACCTGTTTGAACTTGTTATCAGTATAAAAAGACACCTGTCCACAACCTCAAACAGTCACAGTGTGTGAAAACCTTGTGAAGACTTACAGAAAACGTTTGACCTGTGTCATTGCCAACAAAGGGTATATAACAAAGTATTGAGAAACTTTTGTTATTGACCAAATACTTATTTTCCACCATAATTTGCAAATAAATTCATAAAAAATCCTACAATGTGATTTTCTGGATTTTTTTTTCTCATTTTGTCTGTCATAGTTGACGTGTACCTATGATGAAAATTACAGGCCTCTCTCGTCTTTTTAAGTTGGAGAACTTGCACAATTGGTGGCTGACTAAATACTTTTTTCCCCCACTGTATATCTCACTAGATCAGGATATTTAAGCCTCCATATATCTACTAGTTCTAATGTATCCATGACATTCACGATTTCCTTAAGAGCATGTGGGTGATTGTTTGTGGTGTGATTTCCTTTACGGTCCATTGAGCTATTTAAAACAGTATTATAATCCCCCACCATAATAATGTTGTCTTGAATTGCTTGCAGGGTTGATAATTTATTATATATATTGTCAAAGAAAGTGTGGTCATCAACATTATTTGGTGTCCGTAAATGATAATGAAGCCATATCTGTTTTATATTGTCCAAAACCATATTTAAACTTATCCTCTACCTGCGTATCTATTTGGACAATTTTCACATTCGGATCAAATTACTATTAAAGCTTAATGTCATCCCCCGCTTTTGAATTTCTTTGCCCAGGGAGAGTAAAATAAATTTTCGCCCCCCCCCATTCCCTTTTTCCACGCAACTTTCATCAGAATTGTTGAATGAGTTTCCTGTAAACAATAGATATTTATAGTCCCTTCTCTTTGATCCATGTAAATATTGTTCTTCTTTGTTATTATCTGCTAAGCCATTACAATTATACCTGGCTTACTTATTTCACCACAGAGACATACAAGTATTGAAGTCTATTTATCATGACATATGTTTGTACATTTCCCAAAAAAAAATACGGTAAATGATTGAGTTGTCCCATATAGCTGGTATCCGTTGATTTTTGCATTGTGCTACTAAGTATCCCTTCAATTGTTCTCCCACTAATTCCCCCGCTAAAACCCCTCCCCATCCCAAGTCCAAATCGATGTTAGTGATAGCTGTTCTGATGTCCAGAAGCTCTTTTCGGTCAAAAGGAAACGATGGCGGAAACATTATGTACAGAAAAAGTTAAGATCAGCGGGGGAAAAATACACAAAACAGCACAATTGGTCAGAAGCCCGTAAAACGGCCGCCATTCCCTCTGGTGCCATCCTTCCAGGTACGTGGTGACGTGGTGTGCCCCAGTGGGATAGGCCTACCTGACTTCCTTCGTCTGTCTCAGCAAGCTACTTCGTGTCATGTGATGGAGCAGTCTCTTAGACCCTTGGAAAGAGGGTTCTTAAACTCAACCTCTGCTATCATGTTAGTATACTGCAATGCAGATCCAATAGCCTGAAAGAGAACACACATTATATAACTGTCACACTGAATATACCATATCTCTAGTGGGTGTTACTGATATAGGGATGGTATTTACTAGATCAACTGTTCAGATGACAGTCTATTTAGATTTTCATCTTTAGTCTCGCAACCATTTATTTCCCTTGCAAATTGTTATCTCGCTACTAGTATGTTTGCCACTGTAATGCAGACGCTGGGAGATGAGAAGCAAGTACAGGGTGAGGGTTTAATAATAAATAAACATAGAGCAAACCAAGACCAGCGTCTGGACATGAGAAACATAACATCAATGCTGACTGGGGAATGAACCTGAGGGAGTGACAGATATAGGGGAGGTAATCAATGATGTGATGAGTCCAGGTGAGTCCCATAATTAAGCGCAGGTGCGCGTAACGATGATGGCAGGTGTGCGTAATGATGAGTGAACTGGTGACCTCGAGCACCGGAGAGGAGGAGCGGGAGTAGACGTGACAACCATTTAAATTTGTGGGTGGCTACCTACGAGTATGTAAAGAGCCTTGGGGCTTGTTCCATAATGACCCCAATAAATGTCACTCTGAGAATGTTGAGCTGTCCTAGGAAAGTTATTGGAGTGGCTGAAGGATCTGACAGATAGCGAAATGACAAAATGTCAGGACTGTACAGTCCTGTCTTTGATGGTGACTGAAGGCCTCTCTGGCACAATGTCTTTCTCTGTGATGTACACTTCCTCACTATTGACCTTGTCTGTGACCACAGCCGAAACCTTGATGCTGTTGTTCTCCAGCATGTGCTCACAGTACACAGAAGGGGATGTGGATGGGGATAGTCAGATCTGTCAACAGGCAATTCAATGTCATGGTATCACAGGCCAACATACTGTAGAGTCCATAGGACAATGTTGGCGACCTTTTCAAGACCTTAATTATTCGCCCTCCTGAAATGCACCACCTTTTTGTCATAACCCAGGATGTTGACAAAGAATTATAAAAGTCAATAGCTGTAATGTGCTCTTGGTTTTGAGAAGCATTTCCCATTGGCCTACTCATAAAAATAGTTCAAGAGACATTGTCACTCTACCTTGGTTGGGACGGTGCTCCTGTTGTTTCAATTCTGTCTTTATCTGGGAGGATGGGATGCCGGTGTATCTTATGGCCTGAGCGTTGACATGGATTAGTGGTGTCCGAGTCACACGGTGGTCGCTTTTCAGTACAAGCTTGAGGTCAATCTGCGCAATAATAACACAAAATACTCCAGGAGTGTGTTATTGTGTAAATTAGTGTGAGCTGAGATGGAAGTTGGACCGTACCTGGGGGGTGGGGTCCACAGCCTGCCAGCCGTCATATAAGGAGTCTCCAGAGAGAACGGGCCGTCTCATCCAGGCCTCCACCCACACATGGTAGTTCCTGAACAGAAACGCAACAGTCTTTAAGACCTTATCCAATTGACACCTCTCTTAGTAGCTATAATGACCTCATGTAGCACTTACCATACATTGTCATGGGTCTTTTGGGTTCAGACTCCATATTCGGAGAAGAAGTCGTCGACTGTCAGATGTTTGTCGGTGTCGTGAGCTGACTGGTAGTAATCACTCGACATTCCCAAACACCTCAGTACTGACATGGAAATACAATTCACAGCCAGTGAGTAGCTTATCCCTGCCTCGGTATCACTAACGCTAGCATACATCTCTAACAATAAACAAGCCAGCAAACGTAATAGTAGCTCAAATTCTCTGAAGTAATATAAACAACATAGTTAGGCTTGAAACCCAGTCAAAAGCCACATAACTATTTAACCAAACCCGACTGGACCTCTATGGGTAAAATAAAAGTATACAGAAAGAAAATGTAACTACCTGGCATAGTGTGGCTGTAGCTATAGTAACACCCTGGTAAACTTAGCGAGCTGGCTAAATAGCGCAGTCAACATTAGCTAATTTTCCAGAGACAAATTAGTCCTGGGCTTATCTGAACCAAAAAATATTTTTTATGGAGATTCTCCATTGAGTTATCTTTTTAGTCCACTACTAGGCTTAAATGTGTGTCAGGGAAACCACCCTTTATAAGTTTTGAGTAGCTAGTGCTTTTCAGCTGTAACCATACTGTCTTGCTTGCTCTTTGTACCCGCTAGGGAGCTGATGTATCTTCCAGGCCTTGTTCTCTCATCACATACTCCTGCCTCTCCTCCTCTTCTGGTAGATGTCCTCTACAGCCCAGTACAAAACACAGAATTCATGTTTTGAAACTGCTATGTTTTTTTACATGATCCATTATGTCATAAAAAAGTTTTGTCTCTTCCCAACCTATAAAGATACATGGTTTACAATCTCACTAAATTAACCATTTCCAGTTTCCTAAACTGATAAGGAATACCAGGAATGTGCCATTTCACACATTCTGCGGATATCAAATATTGACTTGTGTTATCATGGCTGTAGTGAGGCATTCACCTCGCGTTCTCCTGCATGTGATTAAAAAAGTTAATTTGTTACAGTTCTATTGAACATTTCTATGAATGCTTTACACTCCATTGTAATTTATTGTCTGCAGTAGTCTCGCTTTACCGTACTCTCAAGTCTGGGCTGGTTACACTTAGGGTGACTGACATTTCCCACGGCCTCAGGGAGCCCGAACACAGACCTGCTCCCCAACGCCTCCGAAGGCTGGGGCCCTGGATGGAGATGGGGGATTCGTTTTGGGTCGTGCTCAGTAGGCACGAAATGGAAGAAAACGTTCAGAAATGGATGAAATGGTGAGGTACTATATTTGTCAAAAAATAAACAATATTTACTTAGATCTCAGCATTACAGTATACTATATATAGTATAGCAGAGATAGCTTACCTGTCTCCATGGTCAACTCCAGTGTGTCTGTCGTGGGCCTGAAGGGGCCATGGAGGTCAAAGGGGACCAGGAAGGACTGGCCTCTCCTGACTATCTGTCCACTGAGATGTCATTGGTGTTGTGGGCTGTGTTGTTCTTCTCACAGTGGAGCTCCGCTTTACCAAGGTCTTCAAAAAAAGAAAGAAATGAATACAAATATATATTTTTAAATTCCCACAACCAAAGTAGAGATTACTCAGGAATAATTTGCTGATCTGCCCATATCTGTAAATATTTGTATATACAGTGAGGGAAAAAAGTATTTGATCCCCTGCTGATTTTGTACATTTGCCCACTAACAAAGAAATGATCAGTCTATAATTTTAATGGTAGGTTTATTTGAACAGTGAGAGACAGAATAAAAACAAAAGAATCCAGAAAAACACATGTCAAAAATGTTATAAATTGATTTGCATTTTAATGAGGGAAATAAGTATTTGACCCCCTCTCAATCAGAAAGATTTCTGGCTCCCAGGTGTCTTTTAAACAGGTAACGAGCTGAGATTAGGAGCACACTCTTAAAAAGACACCTGTCCACAGAAGCAATCAATCAATCAGATTCCAAACTCGCCACCATCTTGTCAATGATTCAAGGCAGCTGGGACCATAGTCACCAAGAAAACAATTGGTAACACACTACGCCGTGAAGGACTGAAATCCTGCAGCGCCCGCAAGGTCCCCCTGCTCAAGAAAGCACATATACAGGGCCATCTGAAGTTTGCCAATGAACATCTAAATGATTCAGAGGAGAACTGGGTGAAAGTGTTGTGGTCAGATGAGACCAAAATTGAGCTCTTTGGCATCAACTCAACTCGCCGTGTTTGGAGGAGGAGGAATGCTGCCTATGACCCCAAGAACACCATCCCCACCGTCAAACATGGAGGTGGAAACATTATGCTTTGGGGGTGTTTTTCTGCTAAGGGGACAGGACAACTTCACCGCATCAAAGGGACGATGGATGGGGCCATGTACTGTCAAATCTTGGGTGAGAACCTCCTTCCCTCAGCCAGGGCATTGAAAATGGGTTGTGGATGTGTATTCCAGCATGACAATGACCCAAAACACGGTCAAGGCAACAAAGGAGTGGCTCAAGAAGAAGCACATTAAGGTCCTGGAGCGGCCTAGCCAGTCTCCAGACCTTAATCCCATAGAAAATCTGTGGAGGGAGCTGAAGGTTCGAGTTGCCAAACATCAGGCTCGAAACCTTAATGACTTGGAGAAGATCTGCAAAGAGGAGTGGAACAAAATCCCTCCTGAGATGTGTGCAAACCTGGTGGCCAACTACAAGAAATGCCTGACTTCTGTGATTGCCAACAAGGGTTTTGCCACCAAGTACTAAGTCATGTTTTGCAGAGGGGTCAAATACTTATTTCCCTCATTAAAATGCAAATCAATTTATAACATTTTTGACATGCGTTTTTCTGGATTTTTTTATTGTTATTCTGTCTCTCACTCTTCAAATAAACCTACCATTAAAATTATAGACTGATCATGTCTTTGTCAGTGGGCAAACGTACAAAATCAGCAGGGGATCAAATACTTTTTTCCCTCACTGTAGTTCTCTGCAATATACTGTACAGGCCAACTTTGTATCTTTTTTAAAGGCTCAGAAGTAAATACATTTATTTTTTAATGACCGCTTTCAGAAATCATATTAAATTAACAGAACATACACCAATAAGGATTAAAATATTTTGTAAGAAAATGTTACATTCTACACCTTTACCAAACTCAGTATTCGTTTTTAAAGTCTACCAATTACCCAGTCACTGTACTGTACTACATGATATAGGCTACGTTGACATTGCAATATCCACATGTGTCATTATCTGAATTTGACTTTAAAAAATCTTGCAACGAGCAGTACTAGTTGACTTACCAAAATCCATTCAAGCCGTCTCTCACGTGGTTATGTTTGCAAGTGGAACGAGTTGCTTGTCATAATTCTGAAGTACTGTAGTGAAAGTCGTGAAAGGATGCCAGAGCTTTTAAAAGTAGCCCTACCCATATCATAAGAATGTCTCAAATGTCATACAGTTAGAAATGTACACACCCTTTCTTACCTTGCAGGAAAAGGTCCTCCTACAGAACAGGATAGGAATGGTCTTGCCGTTGGCATGTTGGCTACGCTCAATATTGAAGATGTAGCAGGACCTAGGTCCTAGATCATTAGATGTACAGTTTATAACCATTAATCAACATAGGCTCCCTTTTAAATTGCATTGTTTCTATTCTATTTATATTATTTTCTAATAGCTTCTGACTTAGTGGGGAAAAAAAGTATTTAGTCAGCCACCAATTGTGCAAGTTCTCCCACTTAAAAAGATGAGAGAGGCCTGTAATTTTCATCATAGGTACACGTCAACTATGACAGACAAATTGAGAATTTTTTTTCTCCAGAAAATCACATTGTAGGATTTTTAATGAATTTATTTGCAAATTATGGTGGAAAATACGTATTTGGTCAATAACAAAAGTTTCTCAATACTTTGTTATATACCCTTTGTTGGCAATGACACAGGTCAAACGTTTTCTGTAAGTCTTCACAAGGTTTTCACACACTGTTGCTGGTATTTTGGCCCATTCCTCCATGCAGATCTCCTCTAGAGCAGTGATGTTTTGGGGCTGTCGCTGGGCAACACGGACTTTCAACTCCCTCCAAAGATTTTCTATGGGGTTGAGATCTGGAGACTGGCTAGGCCACGCCAGGACCTTGAAATGCTTCTTACGAAGCCACTCCTTTGTTGCCCGGGCGGTGTGTTTGGGATCATTGTCATGCTGAAAGACCCAGCCACATTTCATCTTCAATGCCCTTGCTGATGGAAGGAGGTTTTCACTCAAAATCTCATGATACATGGCCCCATTAATTATTTCCTTTACACGGATCAGTCATCCTGGTCCCTTTGCAGAAAAACAGCCCCAAAGCATGATGTTTCCACCCCCATGCTTCACAGTAGGTATGGTGTTCTTTGGATGCAACTCAGCATTCTTTGTCCTCCAAACACGACGAGTTGAGTTTTTACCAAAAAGTTATATTTTGGTTTCATCTGACCATATGACATTCTCCCAATCCTCTTCTGGATCATCCAAATGCACTCTAGCAAACTTCAGACGGGCCTGGACATGTACTGGCTTAAGCAGGGGGACACGTCTGGCACTGCAGGATTTGAGTCCCTGGCGGCATAGTGTGTTACTGATGGTAGGCTTTGTTACTTTGGTCCCAGCTCTCTGCAGGTCATTCACTAGGCCCCCCCGTGTGGTTCTGGGATTTTTGCTCACCGTTCTTGTGATCATTTTGACCCCACAGGGTGAGATCTTGCGTGGAGCCCCAGATCGAGGGAGATTATCAGTGGTCTTGTATGTCTTCCATTTCCTAATAATTGCTCCCACAGTTGATTTCTTCAAACCAAGCTGCTTACCTATTGCAGATTCAGTCTTCCCAGCCTGGTGCAGGTCTACAATTTTGTTTCTGGTGTCCTTTGACAGCTCTTTGGTCTTGGCCATAGTGGAGTTTGGAGTGTGACTGTTTGAGGTTGTGGACAGGTGTCTTTTATACTGATAACAAGTTCAAACAGGTGCCATTAATACAGGTAACGAGTGGAGGACAGAGGAGCCTCTTAAAGAAGAAGTTACAGGTCTGTGAGACCCAGAAATCTTGCTTGTTTGTAGGTGACCAAATACTTATTTTCCACCATAATTTGCAAATAAATTCAATAAAAATCCTACAATGTGATTTTCTGGATTTCTTTTTCTCAATTTGTCTGTCATAGTTGACGTGTACCTATGATGAAAATTACAGGCCTCTCTCATCTTTTTAAGTGGGAGAACTTGCACAATTGGTGGCTGACTAAATACTTTTTTCCCCCACTGTATATTGTTCTGCCTGAAGTCAGTGACCAGGTAGTGGTTTGATGAGGTGTCCTGTAGGCTACATAGTAAATATCACCACATCAGCATCCATATTAAACCAGAGATGTGAGTTTAAGTGCAGCATTGAGATTTAACTGCTTTAGGTATCCGACTCTCCTTATGGTTTTAGTTTTATTACATGGTTCAATACATTATTCTGTCATAGGATGCCTTTGACCACAGACAACCACCATGGCAGTGAAACAGTACAGTGACTTCTACTATCTAATGTATGTCCCTCTAACTGCCCTGAATGCCACCGCTAATCCTACAGCTATTGTATGCAGTAATCATGTGCCTAAGAACCAGATCTATACTGTTAGCACTGAGCCGGTGTGCCCTAGGAGGAAGTCCACTGTGTGCAGCTCACCCTGCACTAACATAAAGAACATGACCACATCTACTGCTGCTAAGCTTCCCAGTAAAGCAATAAATACAAGTAAGCATCCCAGAAGAAAAGTGCTCAAAATAGCCCACATTAACATATGTAGTTTAAGAAACAATGTTCATGAAATCAATAATTTGCTAGTAACAGATGACATTCATATTCTGAATATCTCTGAAACTCACTTAGATAATACCTTTTGATACAGTGGTAGCAATACAAGGTTATAACATTTACAGAAAATATAGAAATGCCAATGGTGGAGGTGTTGCTGTTTATATTCAGAACCACATTCCTGTGAAGATTATAGAGGATCTCATGTTAAGTACTGTTGAATTAATATGGCTACAGGTTCATCTGCCTCACCTAAAGCCCATTCTGGTGGGAAGCTGCTATAGACCACCAAGTGCTAACAGTCAGTATCTGGATAACATGTGTGAAATGCTTGATAATGTATGTAATATCAATAGAGAGGTATACATTCTGGGTGATTTAAATATTGACTGGCTTTCATCAGGCTGCCCACTCAAGAGAAGGCTTCAAACTGTAACCAGTGCCTGCAACCTGGTTCAGGTTATCAGTCAACCTACCAGGGTAGTTACAGTACAGGAATGAAATCATCAACATGTATTGATCATATCTTTACTAATACTGCAGATATTTGTTTGAAAGCAGTATCCAAATATATTGTGTATAAGAGGTCATACAAAAAGTTTTGTAGTGATTCCTATGTTGTTGATGTAAAGAATATACACTGCTCAAAAAAATAAAGGGAACACTTAAACAACACAATGTAACTCCAAGTCAATCACACTTCTGTGAAATCAAACTGTCCACTTAGGAAGCAACACTGATTGACAATACATTTCACATGCTGTTGTGCAAATGGAATAGACAACATGTGGAAATTATAGGCAATTAGCAAGACACCCCCAATAAAGAAGTGGTTCTGCAGGTGGTGACCACAGACCACTTCTCAGTTCCTATGCTTCCTGGCTGATGTTTTGGTCACTTTTGAATGCTGGCGGTGCTTTCACTCTAGTGGTAGCATGAGACGGAGTCTACAACCCACACAAGTGGCTCAGGTAGTGCAGCTCATCCAGGATGGCACATCAATGCGAGCTGTGGCAAGAAGGTTTGCTGTGTCTGTCAGCGTAGTGTCCAGAGCATGGAGGCACTACCAGGAGACAGGCCAGTACATCAGGAGACGTGGAGGAGGCCGTAGGAGGGCAACAACCCAGCAGCAGGACCGCTACCTCCGCCTTTGTGCAAGGAGGAGCACTGCCAGAGCCCTGCAAAATGACCTCCAGCAGGCCACAAATGTGCATGTGTCTGCTCAAACGGTCAGAAACAGACTCCATGAGGGTGGTATGAGGGCCCGACGTCCACAGGTGGGGGTTGTGCTTACAGCCCAACACCGTGCAGGACGTTTGGCATTTGCCAGAGAACACCAAGATTGGCAAATTCGCCACTGGCGCCCTGTGCTCTTCACAGATGAAAGCAGGTTCACACTGAGCACATGTGACAGACGTGACAGAGTCTGGAGACGCCATGGAGAACGTTCTGCTGCCTGCAACATCCTCCAGCATGACCGGTTTGGCGGTGGGTCAGTCATGGTGTGGGGTGGCATTTCTTTGGGGGGCCGCACAGCCCTCCATGTGCTCGCCAGAGGTAGCCTGACTGCCATTAGGTACCGAGATGAGATCCTCAGACCCCTTGTGAGACCATATGCTGGTGCGGTTGGCCCTGGGTTCCTCCTAATGCAAGACAATGCTAGACCTCATGTGGCTGGAGTGTGTCAGCAGTTCCTGCAAGAGGAAGGCATTGATGCTATGGACTGGCCCGCCCGTTCCCCAGACCTGAATCCAATTGAGCACATCTGGGACATCATGTCTCGCTCCATCCACCAACGCCACGTTGCACCACAGACTGTCCAGGAGTTGGCGGATGCTTTAGTCCAGGTCTGGGAGGAGATCCCTCAGGAGACCATCCGCCACCTCATCAGGAGCATGCCCAGGCGTTGTAGGGAGGTCATACAGGCACGTGGAGGCCACACACACTACTGAGCCTCATTTTGACTTGTTTTAAGGACATTACATCAAAGTTGGATCAGCCTGTAGTGTGGTTTTCCACTTTAATTTTGAGGGTGACTCCAAATCCAGACCTCCATGGGTTGATAAATTGGATTTCCATTGATAATTTTTGTGTGATTTTGTTGTCAGCACATTCAACTATGTAAAGAAAAAAGTATTTAATAAGATTATTTCATTCATTCAGATCTAGGATGTGTTGTTTAAGTGTTCCCTTTATTTTTTTGAGCAGTGTATGTTGGTCTGTGGTGTGTAATGAGGAGCAAACAGACACTGCACTTGACACATTTATGAAATTGCTTATTCCAGTTACTAATAAGCATGCACCCATTTAAGAAAATGACTGTAAAAACTGTTAAATGCCCATGGATTGATGAGGAATTGGAAAATTGTATGGTTGAGAGGGATGAGGCAAAAGGAATGGCAAATAAGTATGGCTGCACAAATGATTGGCAAACGTATTGCAAATTGAGAAATCATGTGACTAAACTGAATAAAAAGAATTAGAAACTACACTATGAAACAAAGATAAATGACCTAAAGAGTGATAGTAAAAAGCTTTGGAGCACCTTAAATGAAATCTTGGGAAAAAAGGCAAACTCAGCTCCATCATTCATTGAATCAGATGGCTCATTCATCACAAAACCAACTGATTTTGCCAACTACTTTAATGATTTTTTCATTGGCAAGATTAGCAAATTTAGGCATGACATGCCAGCAACAATTGCTGACACTACACATCCAAGTATATCTGACCAAATTATGAAAGACAAGCATTGTCATTTTGAATTCCGTAAAGTGAGTGTGGAAGAGGTGAAACAATTATTAGTAAAGCCCCCTTTACTGGCTCAAATAGCCTACCAATTAGCCTGTTACCAACCCTTAGTAAACTATTGGAAAAAATTGTTTGACCAGATACAATGCTATTTTACAGTAAACAAATTGACAACAAACCTTCAGCATGCTTATAGAGAAGGACATTAAATAAGCACAGCACTTACACAAATGACTGATGATTGGCTGAGAGAAATTGATGATAAAAAGATTGTGGGGGCTGTTTTGTTAGACTTCAGTGCGGCTTTTGACATTATCGATCATAGTCTGCTGCTGGAAAAACGTATGTGTTATGGCTTTACTCCACCTGCTATATTGTGGATACAGAGTTACCTGTCTAACAGTGTTCTTTAATGGAAGCCTCTCCAACATAATCCAGGTAGAATCAGGAATTCCCCAGGGCAGCTGTCTAGGCCCATTGAAAAATGTAATCTTTACTAATGACATGCCACTGGCTTTGAGTAAAGCCAGAGTGTCTATGTATGTGGATGACTCAACACTATACATGTCAGCTACTACAGCGACTGAAATGACTGCAACACTTAACAAAGATTTGCAGTTAGTTTCAGAGTGGGTGGCAAGGAATAAATTAGTCATAAATATTTCCAAAACTAAAAGCATTGTATTTGGGACAAATCATTCACTAAACCCTAAACCTCAACTAAATCTTGTAATAAATCATGTGGAAATTGAGTAAGTTGAGGTGACTAAACTGCTCTACCTTCTTAACCGCACAATCAACAAGGCAGGTCCTACAGGCCCTAGTTTTGTCACACCTGGACTACTGTTCAGTCGTGTGGTCAGGAGCCACAAGAAAGGACCTAGGAAAATTGCAATTGGCTCAGAACAGGGCAGCACGGCTGGCCCTTGGATGTACACAGAGAGCTAATATTAATAATATGCATGTCAATCTCTCCTGGTTCAATGCGTTGTACGAGATCTTCAGTTTCTTGGCAATTTCTCGCATGGAATAGCCTTCATTTCTCAGAACAAGAATAGACTGACGAGTTTCAGAAGAAAGTTATTTGTTTCTGGCCATTTTGATCCTGTAATCGAACCCACATACTCAACTAGTCTCAAGAAGGCCAGTTTTATTGCTTCTTTAATCAGCACAACAGTTTTCAGCTGTGCTTATATAATTGCAAAAGGGTTTTCTAATGATCAATTAGCCTTTTAAAATGATAAACTTGGATTAGCAAACACAACGTGCCATTGGAACACATGACTGATGGTTGCTGATAATGGGCCTCTGTACGCCTATGTAGATATTCCATTAAAAATCAGCAGTTTCCAGCTACAATTGCCATTTACAACATTATCAATGTCTACACTGTATTTCTGATCAATTTTATGTTATTTTAATGGACGAAAAATTGCTTTTCTTTCGAAAACAAGGACATTTCTAAGTGACCCCAAACTTTTGAATGGTAGTGTATGTGGAAGTGGTGGAGTAGGGGCCTGAGGGCACACAGTGTGTTGTGAAATCTGTGAATGTATTGTAATGTTTTTAAAATTGCATGAACTGCCTTAATTTTGCTGGACCCCAGGAAGAGGAGCTGCTGCCTTGGCAGCAGCTAATGGGGATCCATAATAAATACAAATTCAAATACTATCATCGGGCCTCGGGTAATGCTGAATGAACGTGTGTAAATGTCCCCAGGCAGTAAAAGGTATTGAGCATCATCTTGAGGTTCAAAGGTGGTGATCCTAAAGTACACTAATAGAAAACATAACCTTGACTATTTCAGTCATCATACGTCAGTGATTGACATTAATGGGGAAGTTCACACTCAATTTTAGAAAAAATAAAATGTCCACTGGTCCATATTTGCATATTTTTGTTGTTGTTGTAAACAGCATCATTTGAACATGGATTTATGGCACAGTGGAAAATAAATCCCAAATTGAGTGCACAGACATTATCCAAAATGAGATTCTGATGTAATATGAGTTGGTATGGAGTGTTTTGTAGTGTTTTATAACATGCTTTAGACACATTTTCGTAATGCATTGTAGTCAATGGTAAGTGATGACTCAGTAAAATGTGACAACCAATTTTTTAAAATATCGTTTGGGGGATCAACTACAAGCACAGAAAGAGTGAAAATAAGGCTACATGTAAAAATGGGAGAACTTCCCCTTTAAGGGTTGTGCTATTGCCTGGGGAAAGTGACCTGAGCAGTTGTGCAAGTTGAGCTTCTCTGAGGTTGCCCCATTGGGCAGGTGATTTTTATTTTTTACAGATAACAACCAAAATGCAAATACTTTCAGTAGTCTGATCTTTCTGATTCCTCCCGTGTGTAGGTGAAAATGGCTACTTTACATTTTCGAGCAAGTGATCATAATCTTCCTGCAACCAAAAAAATACTCCTGACTTAACCAAATGGGTGAGTGCCTTTCAGACCTTAATGTCATGTACATGGTTCTGGTTGAAATTGACCTTTTTGCATTCTATTTGCCAAATGTACAGTGCATTCGGAAAGTATTCAGACCCCTTCCCTTTTTCCACATTTTGTTACGTAACAGCCTTATTCTAAAATTGATATTTTAAAAAAAATCCTTATTAATCTACACACAATACCACATAATGAGAAAGCGAAAAAAGGGTTTTGGAAATGTTTGCTAATGTATTAAAAATAAAAAAATGAAATACCTGATTTACATGAGTATACAGACCCTTTGCTATAAGACTCGAAATTGAGCTCAGGTGCATCCTATTTCCATTGATCATCCTAGAGATGTTTTTACAACTTGATTGGAGTCCACCTGTGGTAAATTCAATTGATTGGACATGATTTGGAAAGGCACACACCTGTAAATATAAGGTCCCACATCGCCGAACATCTGTGCCCGACCTCACTAATGCTCTTGCGGCTGAATAGAAGTAAGTACCCACAGTAATGTTCCAACATCTACATTTACATTTTAGTCATTTAGCAGACGCTCTTATCCAGAGCGACTTACAGGAGCAATTAGGTAGTGGACATTCTTCCCAGAAGAGTGGAGGCTGTTATTGCAGCAAAGGAGGGACCAACTCCATAGTAATGCCCATGATTTTGGAATGAGATGGTCGATGAGCAGGTGTCCACATACTTTTGGTTATGTAGTGTATTTAACACCTTTTTTGGGCAGGCACAAAACTACCTTCATACTTCCATTCGTTGTTTTTTTTACCGGTACGGGTTACCCTCAGACGAGTCCCGTGACACTTGTGGGGATCGTAGAACAAAACGTTATCTCCCCTTTCCATCGAGAGATCCTGATAGTTTGTAGGCTAAAACATTTGGATGCTACAGACGTTTACGTGAGACGACCGATCTTCGGGATGTCTCAGAGCAGTGGTTGTCAGACCATACCTCTGCCACCTTTCACCGCAGATGCTGAAGAGCGACACTGGCGGATGCAGTGGATTGAGACGCATCCAATGCGATCTCTAGCTTAAACTGACAGATTTTGATGGGGATAAAAAAAAAAGTAACTTAGATTGACGCACCGGTGCGTCAGTCGACTTTAGGGGGTTATAAAGCTGGATAGGAACTGCTGGTGATAATTTTTCAACGTTCTGATTGGCCAAAGTGGCCAATTCTCTGATGGGCATCCGCAGTGTGCACACACAGCCTACAGTTCATTATTCTCGCCACCACCAGGGAAGCAACCACTATTTCTCTAAGCTGCTAAACATAGGTTATTTATTTGGTTTGTCATTCTATAATGTTTTCATATAATTTTAACAGTAACTACATACAATTGTTAGAATTAATTTTCCAAAAATAGTTTTAGCAGCTCCAATAACGCGAGGGAGTGCCCCAACAGCACTACATTGAAGTCATTTAGCAGACGCTCTTATCCAGAGCGACTTACAAATTGGTCACTAAAACCCTGCTTACCACTCAAACAAGCCCCATGATTGTGCTTCAGTTGTGGGTGTGGTAGAACTGTTCTGGCGTGCTGCATGAAACAGAGGCGTGCTTCACCTGCACCGATAAGAGTGGCAGAGTTTGCCGAACTATCATCAAAAGTCTGAGGAGGCGCACTGTGTGGTTTCAGGGTTCTTGCTATCCGGGATCCTTGGGAAGTCCCAACTCAGACTTTACCCCAATTAAGTTGAAAGCAATCAATCAAATTACATTATTAAAAGAAATGTATTTACTCAAATAGGTTCTCACTGCCTCCGTGTTTTGGGCAATCTTCCCGATGTTTTCGGTGGTAGCAAAGCAGCCAGACGTGGATAGTTGGAGACAGGGCAACAACGTTTTTTTGTCACCAGAGCGGTTTAGAACGCGTTGGTACGTTCCACTCTACCAGCATATGGAAGTATATAGAGGGGTTACTGCAGATGCAGAAACGCCCAACTGCAAGAACACCTTGAATTGCAAGCCGCAATCACACCCTTCATCCATTTTGTGGATGCGCAACAATAACACAGCCATATAGTTGAAAAAAATCTAATGTTTCAAGGTCAACTGATACTTACTAGGTTTAGTTATATTGATCAGGAAATAGTTGCGATATTACGGTCAGAACATAAGCCTACTTTTTGCGTTTTATATTCTATAAAAAAAATCTGTGTCGCAGGTCTTATGAACTGTTGTGACAGAATGCTGTGACACTCATTTGCAGATTTCATTTGTTGGTTTTACAAGGTTAGTTTGGAGCCAGGCTACACATTACACGTCTTGATTTTTCTAATTTATATTATCATTTTAATTACAGAATAATAAAAATAACAATACATAAAACGTCTTTAAAAGAAACCATTGAATATTACAAAGGTTTGCGAATTGCAAAGTTAGGATATAAAATCTTTGAACAATGGTACATAATTGAAAATAAAAATACATTTCATAAAATGCATATATTAACAGTTCTACCACATTAAAAAAACAAAACAAGATGGGCACAAATTGCAGACAGATGAGATGAGTTAGGTAGGCTACTGCGATTCCATAAGACGGAAGACAGACTTGTGATGCACGCCACACCGAAATCAGTTTAAGTTCTCAAGTCGTGTCTATGGTCAAATATCAGTTGCCATGTACACAGCAGAGACAAAAAGAGATTAAAAAGACTACAAAAGTGACTTGGTGACAGCTCCCATTATATTCACACTCATGTCTCTACAGAAAACCCTACAACTGGCCTTGGGTCCTCAAAAAACTGCCTCCATTGGTTGAGCTATACAATGCTTGCCAATGTTTGGAAGTTAATTATTCTCGAACATACATTACGGTCAGAGCATCTTGGAACACAAACCCTGGGTGCACAACCAGGGCACACAACCATTCCTATACTGTACAATTGTTGTCAGTGGTCCGACTGACGGAAATAGCTACCATTTATTTGACCATAAATCAGCTATCATGATGTCGACCAAAATGGGATTGGAATCCACAATGTGGAAGTGGATTAGGGGGTTTAACCATTTCGGCCTTTGAAAAAAAAAAAACACATGCATAAAACCAACAGTGTGCTATCAATATCCAATTCTCTTTTTCTGCTTCTTCTTTCTACAAGTCATTAGGGACGCAGCCAAGGACTTGAAAGTCCAGCTGACACCAGAGGCTTTTTCAGGGAGAGCAACCTTACAGAATGTACAGATTGTGATGCATTGTGTGTATATAGGCATTATTCTCATGTCCGTCCATACATTACATTTCTATCTGCAACATTCTAAAACGTTGCACCCCATCCTAAAAGCCTCAAACTCCGCCTCCACCACAAAACTGACCCGGATCATGTCCGTACAGACGTATTTCACTGGTCTCTGCCAAAAATGGGAGATAGGGTCACAGTATTGGCATGGTAAACACACAGAGGGGAAAGAAGCCATGAGTTCATTAATATCTTTTGTTCTGTCAATAAAGTGTCCGATATGACTTAGGAGTGCCGAGTGGTGCAGTTGTTCCTTCTCCTGAGCAGTAGTGGTTACGGTGGCCCGTGAAGACAAGATGAAGAGAGAGGAAGAAAGAGAGATACACCGAGATGAGTCAAAAGGACCTGAGAGAGCCTCCTGGACACGGAGGGGTGGAGGTGACGCGACGATGGGACAAGAGCCGAGCCGCTCGGTTGGTCGATTTCCACCTGGGATCCAACGGCATTTTGCAGTGGCTGCTTTAGCTTAACTAGGTGCCGTTCGCAGACCGAGTCCCCCTGAGTTTAAGCGCACGTCAGAATAATCAGGTCGTCAGAAGTCGTTTTTCTAGTTGTTGTTCGGAAATCCACAGAGAAAAGCGGGAAATAGAAATCAAAAACACAATTGATCACAAATGTACTATTAGCTTTGGAGAGAGAGAGAGCTTTTCAGGTTTAGCGACGGGTGTCCTGTGATTACAGGGTCTCAGTCTTAGGACGCTTATGTGGGTAGGAGGAGGATTAGTTGAGTCACAGAAGAGGTGTCACACTGTTTGCTACTACAGTGGGCTCCAGCTAGCCCCCCCCCCCCCCCATCCCCCAAGTCGTGTTCATTGTTCTCTAATGGGAGGAGTCCCAGAGATTAGAGTGCTTGTTGCACATGGTGTGTATGTGCAAACACTTGGGTATGTGCATCTGTTTGTGTGTGTGTGTGCTGGTGAGCATGCATTTACGTATGATACGTGTCAGTATTCACATGAGTGTATGTGTGTGTGTGTATGAGTGTGTTTGAGAGTGAGAGAACATGAATGATTGTATGTAAGTCTATGCATGTATGTATGTTTATGTATGAGTGGTATCAGTGCCTTTATTTCCTCAGGCGAGTGGTCTGGTCAGGTCTGCTGCTGGTGATAGTTGTTTTCTGTGCGCGGACCAGCTTGGCTGGCTGGGTCTAGATTAAGGCAGCAGTGTCCATAAGGGCCATGTTGGGATCCTGGCTGGCAAAGAAGCGTACGTCTCGGTCCTTATCCGCCTGCAGGGCCATCACAGTCTCCTCCAGCTCATCTGAGTAGGCACTGCCTGGCTCTTTAAAGTACGCTGCAGAGAGCCAAGTAAAGTGAGTATTTATTTCAAGTGCATTTTACATGGGTCACAACCATAGAAATAGAATGAATAGAACGGGTGTCCCCATTCAGTTCAAGTCAGTGAGGCCATAATGGGTGGACCAGTGGGGAGTAATTATATTTCTATGGTCACAACACACTTTACATCATTAAAAAGGAATATAAGAATGTAGGAAAATTGGGAAATATGGAGAACAAAAATTTAAAAAGGGGAACAATGAGGAAAAGAGGGAAAACATGACCAACAAAATGAAGGCAGCAAATAGTCCACAGAAGAGAGAGAGGGAAAACAATATTCTAAGTGGTATGCTCGTTTGGATAATGGAACATACTGCTTCACACATTTTGGGAGGAGCAAAAACAACACGCCACGAGAGACGTGTTGCACTGGGAAAGACATTGTACTACAACTACAGTACACTAACTGTCATCAGTGTCCAATTTAGCCGTCTTTAGCTTATACCTACGAGTTGGTCTAGCTATAGCTTGAACGTGTGCTATCGGTTTTTATATTGCCAATGCATTTAAATGTACAAGACATATTCCCTCTCGGGGGCAAATAAAGATGTATTTTATTATTGGGTGCATTGAGGGCCCAGTCTGCTCTGGGGTGACTGCTCTGGGGTGAAGTTTTCCCTAGGTACAGATCTAGGATCAGCTCCCCATCCCCCAGTCCTAACTGAAACCATTAGTGGGGAAAAATGCTAAACTGACCACATATCAGCGTCTAGGGGCAACTTCATCCTACACCACCCAGTCTTTACCTTTCTCCATGACACTCTGCCGCAGTGCTTTGGCCACCAGCACACGGACGTTGGCGACTGGGTCCGACGATAGGCTGAGTAGACTGGGGAGGAGGTGCTGGGCAAACTGGTCCATTGGCATACAGTCCTCTTCCACTATGGCCTGGGGAACACAGCGGAGACGACACATGGAGAGCAGGGTCGTATTCATTAGGGAACGCTAAATAATTTGTTTGACTATTTTGCAATGGAAAACAATATTAGAGTTTCTTATTGGACTACTATAGGTCAGGGCTCTCCAACCCTGTTCCTGGAGAGCTACCGTCCTGTAAATTCACTCCCACATCTGATTCTAATAATTAGCTGGTTGATACGCTGAACCAGGTTGAGTTACAACTGGGGTTGGAGTGAAAACCTACAGGATGGTAGCTCTCCAGGAACAGGGTTGGACACCCCTGCTCTAGGTAGTCCCTCCCTGTTGCAGTCAGTTGTCTTTCCATTTGGTGCCTAATGAACACTACAGCAGTCAACAATGGCCATTCAATCCTCACACCTGCCTTCTTTCAGAATAGTGCTATGGCAAGCACTGCTGATGCAATTTCAAACAAAAACATTTTCTGAAGGCAGCAGCTATTGGAAATGGTGTTTGTACAGATTTATTTTCATAAATTCACTTTTCGTGAACAAAATGTTGTCCTGACCTGGCAGATAAAGGCGAAGGCCTGGCGGCCCACCCACTTGGGACAGTGGCAGAAGCGGACGATGAGCTCGTTGATGAAGTTCAGGCCCAGGTCATGGGCTCCACATGCATACATCTTCTGTAAGATCTCCACCACCTAGGATGGACAAGACAAAGATGAGACAGAGGCTGCATCCCAAATGGCACCTTATTCCCTATACAGTACACTACTTTTGACCAGAGCCTATTGGGCCCTGGTCAAAAGTACGGCATTATAGACGGGTTGGTTGTCTAGCAACAAAACCGACACATGCGCAACTATGGGGCAAAACAGACGGGGTTGGCTTAGATTGTTGACAACATGCAAACTATATTTTGTCTTCAATGTTTATTGAAAACATAAATACATTTGCACAATGAGCACTTGCTGTCTCTCAAATAGATCATTACAGTTATTGGTTAGCTAGCTAGCGAATTTTGGCCATATTAACATAGACATGACATCAGACAAAATACCTCAAAATAAGGCATGGTATCAAGAACAAGATAAAACTAACTGAAACGAGCCACCTACAATTCCCCACATGGCAGCTTCTTCTCATTGTTGCTAGCTATCTGGCCATCCAGAATCACAACAACACGTCAGCTAACCCGTCTATAGGGAATACTAGGGTGCCATTTGGGACGCAAGCCATGCTTTCCATTCTAAAGATTTAGATTTAAGTCATTTAGCAGACGCTCTTATCCAGAGCGACTTACAGGAGCAATTAGGGTTAACCTTAGTGGCAGGTACCTTAAGTGACCTTAATGCAGTGATAATAATTGTCTACTTCCAGAAATTGACACAATACAGACATACTCACAGCTCCTATCATTCAGCACAATGACTACTTTAAGTTGTTCAATAAAAAAAAGAAAGAAAGATCATGATCATTCAACAACACAGTTACATTTTCAATAACACAAGTACAAACGGCATGCCTACCAGCTTGTAAGAGATCCACCGAACTTCCGACACTTTGTCTGAGCAGAGGGTCAGTGCTATTTGTCTGAGGTAGTCATACACATCGTAGTGGCTGTACAACTCTATGATCAGGATAAGCTGCCTGTGGACACACACGGAGACATTCTGTTCAACACACACTGGCTCTAATGTATATGGGTCATCCTAAAAATATCTGTTTTCCTGAGGTCTTCATTCCACAAAAGAGGCCCAACAATATTGCTATATGCATTGGGAGCACAAAGTTATAAAACCTAGATGGCGCACCTCCTATCTTTTCCATTGACTGCTTTTGTGACAGCATGAACAGCGCCAGGGTACCTGTCTGTCTGTGCTATCATGCCAAGTCCTTGTCACTCATTCATTGTCATGTTTGGCTTGACAATGTGCAATGGAGTGGGCAAGAGTACTAACCGATATGGGACCAGGCAGGCACAATGGAGGGCTGTCTCCATTTTAAAGTAGTCCGTTTTCAGATTTTTTTTTATGGGCCTAAAGCCAATGTTAGTGATTTACTGCCATACGCCGTGCTGCTAAGGAGTATAATTCATTGGCTGATTAAAATCAAATCAAATCAACATTTATTGGTCGCGTACACAGATTTGCAGATGTTGTCGCAGGTGCAGCTAACTGCTTAGGTTTCTAACTCCAACAGTGCAGTAATATCTAGCAATACTATAACAATCCAAACTTAAAACCAAGACATATCAGAAATGTCAGAATATATATATAAATGGTGTGTATAGACAGTATGGGCAGTATATTAATAGAAAAGGTGTGTACAGCAGTAGTTATATAGGATGAGCCATACAGTATATACATACAAAGTGGGTAAAACAGTATGTAAACATTGTTAAAATGACCAGTGTTCAATGCCTTCAGAAAGTATTCAAACCCCTTGACTTTTTCCACAATTTGCTGTCTTACAACCTGAATTTAAAATTGATTCAATTGAGATTTTCGGTCACTGGCACACAATACCCCATAATGTCAAAGTGGATTTACAGTGCATTCGGAAAGTATTCAGACCCCTTGACTTTTTACACATTTTGTTACGTTACAGCCTTATTCTAAAAATGGATAAAAAAATAAAAAATACTCAATCTACACACAATACCCCATAATGACACAGCAAAAACAGGTAGAGAAATTTGTGCAAAAAACTGAAATATCACATTTACATAAGTATTCCGACCCTTTACTCAGTACTTTGTTGAAGCACCTTTGTCATCGATTACAGCCTCAAGTCTTCTTGGGTATGACGCTACAAGCTTGGGACACCTGTATTTGGGGAGTTTTTCCCATTCTTCTCTGCAGATCCTCTCAAGCTCTGTCAGGTTGGATGGGGAGCGTCGCTGCACAGCTATTGTCAGGTCTGTCCAGAGATGTTTAATTGGGTTCAAGTCCGGGCCACTCAAGGACATTCAGAGACTTGTCCCGAAGCCACTCCTGCGTTGTCTTGGCTGTGTGCTTAGGGTCGTTGTCCTGTTGGAAAGTGAACCTTCGGCCCAGTCTGAGGTCCTGAGCGCTATGGAGCAGGTTTTCATCAAGGATCTCTCTGTACTTTGCCCCATTCATCTTTCCCTCGATCCTGACTAGTCTCCCAGTCCCTGCCGATGAAAAACATCCCCACAGAATGATGTTGCCACCACCACGCTTCACCGTAGGGATGGTACCAGGTTTCCTCCAGACATGACGCTTGGCATTCAGGCCAAAGAGTTCAATCTTGGTTTTATCAGACAAGATAATCTTTTTTTTCCCCATTGTCTGAGAATCCTTTAGGTGCCTTTTGGCAAACTCCAAGCTGGCTATCATGTGTCTTTTACTGAGGAGTGGCTTCTGTCTGGCCACTCTACCATAAAGGCCTGATTGGTGGAGTGCTGCAGAGATGGTTGTCCTTGGAAGGTTCTCCCATCTCCACAGAGGAACTCTGGAGCTCTGCCAGAGTGACCATCGGGTTCTTACTCACCTTCCTGACCAAGGCCCTTCTCCCCCGATTGTTCAGTTTGGCCGGGCGGCCAGCTCTAGGGTCTTGTTGGTTCCAAACTTCTTCCATTTAAGAATGGAAGCCACCGTGTTCTTGGGGACCTTCAATGCTGCAGAAATGTTTTGGTACCCTTCTCCAGATCTGTGCCTCGACACAATCCTGTCCCGGAGGTCTACGGACAATTCATTTGACCTCATGGTTTGGTTTTTGCTCTGACATACACTGTCAACTGTGGGACCTTATATAGACAGGTGTGTGCCTTTCCAAATCATGTCCAATCAATTGAATTTACCACAGGTGGCCCCCAATCAAGTTGTAGAAACATCAAGGATGATCAATAGAAACAGGATGCACCTGAACTCAATTTCGAGTCTCATAGCAAAGGGTCTGAATACTTATGTAGCGAAGGTATTTCTGTTTTTTATTTTTAATACATTTGCAAACATTTCTAAAAACCTGTTTTTGCTTTGTCATTATGGAGTATTGTGTGTAGATTGATGAGGGAAAAAAATTATTGATCATCCTTGAATCCATTTCAGAATAAGGCTGTAACATAACAAAATGAGTGAAAAGTCAAGGGGTTTCAATACTTTCCGAATGCACTGTATAGTTTAGATGCGTCAACACCTTTAGTTGGCGCTCCCTATTTAGATTTCTAGAAAAACATTCCTTTATCTGATTTCCCTGATTTCGTTCTGCTCCACCTTTTTGGTTTACTTCCAGTCTACGTTTGGTTTTTCTTTTGATTGCCACTTCTTGGGAAAATTCGGTGGGCACTCATAGTGGGTGTCTTTTAGGTTCCAGTTGTTGTTGCTAGTCAACTATCAGTGGACACCCCCATGAGTGTCTTTCAGAACCCCTCCTAAATCCCCACCTGTTTTGTTTTGGTTGTTGTCAGTGACTCTGTTAGTTCCCCCTTCTGTTTAAGCAACATTTATTTTCTTGCTGGGGAAAGTAACACCCTCCACTGCTGCCCCGTCGATGTGGATGGGGGCGTGCTCACTCTGCTGTCTCCTGTAATCCACGATCAGCTTTTGTTGACGTTGAGGGTGAGGTTATTTCCCCGGCACCACTCAGCTAGGGCACTTACCTCCTGTAGGCTGTCTTGTCGTTGTTGGTGATCAGGCCTAACACTGTTGTGTCATCAGCAAGAGTTGGAGTCGTGCGTAGCCACACAGTCATGGTTGAACAGGGCTTACAAAAGAGGGCTTAGCACACATCCCTGGGGGGGCCCTTGTGTTGAGGATCAGCGTGGGGCGGATATGTTGTTGCCTACCCTCACTGCCTAGGGGCGACCCGTCAGGAAGTCTAGGACCCAGTTGCACAGAGAGGGGTTCAGTCCCAGGGCCCTGAGCTTAGTGATGAGCTTGGGGGGCAGCATGGTGTTGAAAGCCTAACTGTAGTCGATGAACAGCATTCTCACATAGGCATTTCACTTATCCAGGTGGGATAGGGCAGTGTGCAGTGCAGTGGCTATTGCGTCATCCGTGGAACTGTTGGGGCGGTATGCGAATTGTAGTGGGTCGAGGGTGTCGGGTAAGGTGGAGGTGATATGGTCCTTAATTAGCCTCTAAAAACACTTCATGATGACATTAGTAGTGCGTACTACGGGGCGATAGTCATTTAGTTCAGTTACCTTTGCTTGCTTGGGTACCAGAATAATGGTGGACATCTTGAAGCAAGTGGGGATGACAGACCGGGATAGGGAGAGATTGAATATGTCCAAACACACACCTGCCAGCTGGTCTGTGCATGCTCTGAGGACGCGGCTGGATGGAACTCTGTGATCCCTCCCTAAGCCATTGGAAGTCCCATGCAAGTTGACTACTAAAATGGTGCATGCCATCAGAGACTTGTGGCAAGTGGGCCCTCTTGGGAGAAATATGGAGGACTCAATCCTAAACGAACTACAAAGATTGGCCCTGATCTAAATGAATGGGAGACTTACTCGGCCAGCTCGTATCTAAACCTCCAGTTGCGGCTGTTGTCGGTCACCATGAACTCCTGCAGCTGGTACAGGTACTCTCTCCTCTTCTCGGCATGGAGCAACTGCCACAGACAAGACAGAAGATACAGAAAGCTGAAATACCACAGATCCAAGTTATAATGTTTCACCAAAGTAAGCATTATTCATCGTTACAAAACCCCTGGACAACACATTCTCTTTTATTAGTGACAAAAGGCATATATATGTATCAAAAGAAGTGGAGGCAACCTGAATAAGAGTGAAAAGACACAAATACAAATGCCTCTCCACCTCTAGACTAACCACATTGTTATTGTGAAAGACAATCTGTTCTGTGACAACCATATAAACCCAGTACACAGGTCAAGTCAGGCAGCATTCTACAAATGCCTCACGTAATAGGTGACTATCATGCAGTGCATCAGATAGCCATCTAAATCTACACTGAACAAAAATATAAAACGCAACATGTAAATTGTAGGTCCCATGTTTCATGAGCTGAAATACAATTTCTCAGAAATGTTCCATATGCACACAAATCTTATTTCTCTCAAATTCTGTGCACAAATGTGTTTACATCCCTGTTAGTGAGAATTTCTCCTTTGCCAAGATAATCCATCCACTTGACAGGTGTGGCATATCAAGAAGCTGATTAAACAGCATGATCATTACACAGGTGCACCTTATGCTGGGTACAACACCACTTTAAAATGTGCAGTTGTCACACAACACAATGCCACAGATGTATCAAGTTTTGAGGGAGTGTGCAATTGGCATGCTGACTGTAGGAATGTCGACCAGAGCTGTTGCCAGATAACTGAATGTTAATTTCTCTACCATAAGCCGCCTCCAAAATGTCCCAGTTCTTCCATGGCCTGCATACTTACCAGACATGTCACTCATTGAGCATGTTTGGGATGCTCTGGATCAACATGTACGACAGCGTGTTCCAGTTCCCGCCAATATCCAGCAACTTTATGGGACAACATTCCACAGGCCACAGTCAACAGCCTGATCAACTCTATGCGAAGGAGATGTGTCGCACTGCATGAGGCAAATGTGGTCACGCCCCTACTTTTTTTTCACAGTATCTGTGACAAACAGATGCATATCTGTATTTCCACTCATGTGAAATCCATAGATTACTGTAACTCAGTAAAATGTTTGGAATTGTTCCATGTTGCGTTTATATTTTTGTTCAGTATAAAATCCAACCTAGATTTACCATGTGGCAGCAAAAAGTTAGTCTATTTGTGGTATCATACCAACTCCTTGTCACTAATTGTCAATGTTTGGCTTGACAATGAGCAATGGTGTTGGCAAGAGCACAAACAGATCTAGGACCAGGCTAGTAAAACAGCACAGCAGGTGGACCAAACATAATTGTTCTAATATGTAGATAGACGATTTAGAATCGCTTCACAGTTTACTTGTTACATGTATGGTGGTCTCACCTTAAGGAAGTCATAGAGGTGTTTGAGCACGCCGATGCGCACCTCGTCAAGGTCCTTGAGGAAGCCGTTGAAGATGGGCACCAGGTCGGCCGCCGTCAGCTGGTCTCCCAGGATCACCGCCAGCTCGTGGATGGAGAACGCCAGCGTACGGCGCACCTTCCACTGTAGCGGTAATGAATATAAAGCCAGAAGGTTAGCTTGGCTCTACACCAAAACAAGACTTTTCCACATGTTGGGGAGTTAAAACTCATGAGGAAATGGCTGATATGCCTCGGTCAACGACTACACAGGCTAACACAGCCACTCCCTGCCTCAGCCAAGCTGCAATACCACTCATTGAATAATGAATCTCTAACAATCCACTATTCTTCACAAAAGTAACTGAAGCTAAGCTTTAAGTGAAAAAGATAAGCTGTATTGATTTTGGTTGCAAACTAATAACTCCATATTACGTCATGAGCGCTGTTAACAAGCAGTCACTGGACTGGTCATTTGCATAGCAACGTACATACTGTAGGATTTGCAACACAAATCTAACGGTGGTTTTCTGACGGGTATCAGCGCCTCAATCTCTAATGATGAGATTATGTCAACACATGGTGTGTTGTTCACTTTCACACCTCACAGTCTGATAAAATCTTTTAAAAAGCTGTATATATTTTAGTTGGAAACCTAGCAGTTACCATTAAACCGATTTTCAGACTGCCAGCAGAATATCACTGAGAACCCCGCAGAGTACACCACTTGTCCCTCTAGTCAAAGTGGCTATTGCCTTCACACACCATTGGGCGACAGCCTAGTCTACGAGACAGCCGCCGGTGACCATAGCAACGAAATAAACAAACATTATCGACGTGCGAAAAAATTATAGCTTTAACAGGGTGTTAGGGGTCAAAATGAAACTGTGGTTCTGGTGCATACGTTGTATTCCATGTTATATAAAAACTTATCAGGAACACAGAACGCTTTATTTCATGAGGAAAGGATGTACCATTGCTGAGATATCATATTTTCAAGTGATCGGAAAAGGTCAAAGGTTGTGGACTGGTCATTGTTAATCCCTAGTCAAAAAGGTCACCAAATAACCTGTCTGGATTCTTAATTTCAACACGTTTTTTCCCCAATATCTCAAGAGAGGGTTGTCATATTGTTATGACATTTTCAGGGCTGATGCAGAATACAGAGTTATTTCAAATAAAAGTAAAATGTATGACATAAAAATGCAATATTATGCAAATGTTGAACTTAATATGTAAATGAGGCAGTAGAGAATACATAATTACAGTACCTTAAAACCAATAATATAAGGTAGGGTGAAATTATTAACAAATCCTTATGCTTTATGTAAAACTGAAAGTTTGTTACAATTTTTTTTTAAATACGAAAATAGAATGCAACTTTTTAATATGGCTCTATGCAAATGAGGTACTTAATATGCTAATTAGTATGTATGTAATTTCAATCATTTAATGTAAGGTGGTCATATTGTTAACATATTTGATGTTTTATGCAGAACTGGGAGGTTGCAACATTTTTAAAAAGCAATAGCAAATAATGAATATTTAACCCTTGTTAGTCTAAGCTTTTGGGGGGGGGGTGGCTTCTAAGCCGACATACGGAATTGTTTTAAGACGGTCATACTATGGATCATTTAGCTATTGATTTGGAATTTTTGGACCCCCTTAGGTATCAAAACAATATATATAAAAAAGTCAAATTATTGAATTTGGCCATTACTACCATAGCCCAGAGAAACGCATTGAATAACACATAAATGGCAAAAAAGACACTAAAAAATTCATCATAAGAAACAAGGTTTTGAAGTGTCTGTCCTATATCTAGGAGATATAAGAAAGCGAAGGAAATATGTTATTTTTTTACACATACAATACCAGTCAAAAGTTTGGACACCTACTCAAGGGTTTTCTTTATTTTTACTATTTTCTACATTGTAGAATAATAGTGAGGACATCAGAACTATGAAATAACACATATGGAATCATGTAGTAACCCAAAAAAAGTGTTAAACAAATCCAAATATATTTTAGATTCTTCAAAATAGCCACCCTTTGCCTTGATGACAGCTTTGCACACTCTTGGCATTCTCTCAACCAGCTTCACCTGGAATTGTCATCATCTGACAATCACCGCCCTAGCTCTGCCACCTTTCACCACAGATGCGGAAGTGCGACATTGGCGGATGCAGTGGATTGCGTCAATGAACTATAGGGGGTTATAAAAAAAAGGTCCCATTCATTCAATGGGAAATATATAATTTATTATGATTAGAATAAAAATTATAAACAATCAAACAATGTATCACATTTTAAATAGTCAATTATCTCTCTCTCGCTCTCTCTCGCTCTCTCGCTCTCAAATGGGCTTGGAATACTACAGTTTGCAATGCTGCCTATGACACTTAATGTGATGTTGCTGTAATATCTGCATACAGTGCATTCGGAAAGAATTCAGAGCCCTTGACCTTTTCCAAATTTTCTTACATTACAGCCCTATTCTAATATATATATATATATATATATATATATATATATATATATATATATATATATATATATATATATATATATATTATTTTTTTTATCTCAATCTACACACAATACCCCATAGTGACAAAGGGAAAACTGGTTTTTTATCAATTTTTGCAAATGTATTACAAATAAAAAACAGAAATACCTTATTTACATAAGTATCCAGACCCTTTGCTGTAAAACTCGAAATTGAGATCATGTGCATCCTGTTTCCATTGATCATCCTTGAGATGTTTCTACAACTTGATTGGAGTCCACCTGTGGTAAATTCATTTGGAAAGGCACACACACCTGTCTATATAAGGTCCCACAGTTGACAGTGCATGTCAGAGCAAAAACAAAGCCATGAGGTCGAAGGAATTGTCTGTAGAGCTCCGAGACAGGATCGTGTCGAGGCACAGATCTGGGGAAGGGTACCAACACATTTCTGCAGCATTTAAGGTCCCCAAGAACACAGTGGCCTCCATCATTCTTAAATGGAAGAAGTTTGGAACCACCAAGACTCTTCCTAGAGCTGTTCTCCTGGCCAAACTGAGAAACCGGGGGAGAAGGGCCTTGGTCAGGGAGGTGTCCAAGAACCCGATGGTCACTCTAATAGAGCTCTAGAGTTCCTCTGTGGAGATGGGAGAACCTTCCAGAAGGACAACCATTTCTGCAGCACTCCACCAATCAGGCCTTTATGGTAGAGTGGCCAGACTGAAGCCACTCCTCAGTAAAAGGCACATGACAGCCCGCTTGGAGTTTGCCAAAAGGCACCTAAAGACTCTCAGACCATGAACACAGAACCATCCAACACAGGATTGGCTTTGGGACAAGTCTCTGAATGTCCTTGAGTGGCCCAGCCAGAGCCCGGACTTGAACCCGATCAAACATCTCTGGAGAGACCTGAAAATAGCTGTGCAGCGACGCTCCCCATTCAACCTGACAGAACTTGAGAGGATCTGCAGAGATTAATGGGAGAAACTCCCAAAATACAGGTGTGCCAAGCTTGTAGCGTCATACCCAAGAAGACTCAAGGCTGTAATCGCTGCCAAAGGTGCTTCAACAAAGTACTGAGTAAAGGGTCTGAATACTTATGTAAATGTGATATTTCCGCTTTATATTTTTAATACATTTGCAAACATTTCTAAAAGACTTGTGTTTGCTTTGTCATTATGGGGTATTGTGTGTAGATTGATAAGGATTTTTATTTATTTAATCAATTTTAGAATAAGGCTGTAACGTAACAAAATCTGGAAAAAGTCAAGGGGTCTGAATACTTTCCGAATGGACTATACAGTTGAAGTCGGAAGTTTACATACACTTAGGTTGTAGTCATTAAAACTTGTTTCTCAACCACTCCACAAATTTCTTGTTAACAAACTATCGTTTTGGCAAGTCGGTTAGGACATATACTTTGTGCATGACACAAGTAATTTTTCCAACAATTGTTTACAGACAGATTATTTCACTTATAATTCACTGTTTCACAATTCCAGTGGGTCAGACGTTTACATACACTAAGTTGACTGTGCCTTTAAACAGCTTGGAAAATTCCAGAAAATTATGTCATGGCTTTAAAAGCTTCTGATAGGCTAATTGACATAATTTGAGTCAATTGGAGGTGTACCTGTGGATGTATTTCAAGGCCTACCTTCAAACTCAGTGCCTCTTTGCTTGACATCATGGGAAAATCAAAAGAAATCTGCCAAGACCTCAGAAAAAAATGGTAGACCTCCACACGTCTGGTTCAACCTTGGGAGCAATTTCCAAACGCCTGAAGGTACCACGTTCATCTGTACAAACAATAGTACGCAAGTATAAACACCATGGGACCACGCAGCAGTCATACCGCTCAGGAAGGCGACGTGTTCTGCTTCCTAGAGATGAACGTACTTTGGTGCGAAAAGTGCAAATCAATCCCAGAACAACAGCAAAGGACCTTGTGAAGATGCTGGAGGAAACAGGTACAAAAGTATCTATATCCACAGTAAAACGAGTCCTATATCGACATAACCTGAAAGGCCGCTCAGCAAGGATGAAGCCACTGCTCCAAAACCGCCATAAAAAAGCCAGACTACGGTTTGCAACTGCACATGGGGACAAATAAACTGCACATGGGGACAAATATCGTACTTTTTGGAGAAATGTCCTCTGGTCTGATGAAACAAAAATAGAACTGTTTGGCCATAATGACCATCGTTATGTTTGGAGGAAAAAGGGAGCACTTGCAAGCCGAAGAACACCATCCAAACCGTGAAACACAGGGGTGGCAGCATCATGCTGTGGGGGTGCTTTGCTGCAGGAGGGACTGGTGCACTTCACAAAATAGATGGCATCATGAGGAAGGAAAATTATGTGGATATATTGAAGCAACATCTCAAGACATCAGTCAGGAAGTTAAAGCTTGGTCGCAAATGGGTCTTCCAAATGGACAATAATCCCAAGCATACTTCCAAAATTGTGGCAAAATGGCTTAAGGACAGCAAAGTCAAGGTATTGGAGTGGCCATCACAAAGGCCTGACCTCAATCCTATAGAACATTTGTGGGCAGAACTGAAAAAGTGTGTGCGAGCAAGGAGGCCTACAAACCTGACTCAGTTACACCAGCTCTGTCAGGAGGAAGGGCCAAAATTCACCCAACTTATTGTGGGAAGCTTGTGGAAGGCTACCTGAAACGTTTGACCCAAGTGAAACAATTTAAAGGCAATGCTACCAAATAATAATTGAGTGTATGTAAACTTCTGACCCACTGGGAATGTGATTAAATAAATAAAAGCTTAAATAAATCATACTCTCTACTATTATTCTGACATTTCACATTCTTAAAATAAAGTGGTGATCCTAACTGACCTAAGACAGGGGATTTTTACTAGGATTAAATGTCAGGAATTGTGAAAAACTGAGTTTAAATGTATTTGGCTAAGGTGTATGTAAACTTCCGACTTCGTATATGGGATGTACAGTGGGGTGAACAAGTATTTGATACACTGGCAATTTTGCAGGTTTTCCTACTTACAAAGCATGTAGAGGTCTGTAATTTTTTATCATAGGTACACTTCAACTGTGAGAGACGGAATCTAAAACAAAAATCCAGAAAATCACATTGTATGATTTTTAAGTAATTAATTTGCATTTTATTGCATGACATAAGTATTTGATCACCTACCAACCAGTAAGAATTCCGGCTCTCACAGACCTGTTAGTTTTTCTTTAAGAAGCCCTCCTGTTCTCCACTCATTACCTGTATTAACTGCACCTGTTTGAACTCGTTACCTGTATAAAAGACACCTGTCCACACACTCAATCAAACAGACTCCAACCTCTCCACAATGGCCAAGACCAGTGAGCTGTGTAAGGACATCAGGGATAAAATTGTAGTCCTGCACAAGGCTGGGATGGGCTACAGTACAATAGGCAAGCAGCTTGGTGAGTTGGCAACAACTGTTGGCGCAATTATTAGAACATGGAAGAAGTTCAAGATGACGGTCAATCACCCTCGGTCTGGGGCTCCATGCAAGATCTCACCTTGTGGGGCATCAATGATCATGAGGAAGGTGAGGGATCAGCCCATAACTACACAGCAGGACCTGGTCAATGACCTGAAGAGAGCTGGGACCACATTCTCAAAGAAAACCATTAGTAACACACTACGCCGTCATGGATTAAAATCCTGCAGCGCACGCAAGGTCCCCCTGCTCAAGCCAGCGCATGTCCAGGCCCGTCTGAAGTTTGCCAATGACCATCTGGATGATCCAGAGGAGGAATGGGAGAAAGTCATGTGGTCTGATGAGACAAAAATTGAGCTTTTTGGTCTAAACTCCACTCGCCGTGTTTGGAGGAAGAAGAAGGATGAGTACAACCCCAAGAACACCATCCCAACCGTGAAGCATGGAGGTGGGAACATCATTCTTTGGGGATGCTTTTCTGCAAAGGGGACAGGACGACTGCACCGTATTGAGGGGAGGATGGATGGGGCCATGTATCGCGAGATCTTGGCCAACAACCTCCTTCCCTCAGTAAGAGCATTGAAGATGGGTCGTGGCTGGGTCTTCCAGCATGACAACAACCCGAAACACACAGCCAAGGCAACTAAGGAGTGGCTCCGTAAGAAGCATCTCAAGGTCCTGGAGTGGCCTAGCCAGTCTCCAGACCTGAACCCAATAGAAAATCTTTGGAGGGAGCTGAAAGTCCGTATTGCCCAGCGACAGCCCCAAAACCTGAAGGATCTGAAGGTCTGTATGGAGGAGTGGGCCAAAATCCCTGCTGCAGTGTGTGCAAACCTGGTCAAGACCTACAGGAAACGTATGATCTCTGTAATTGCAAACAAAGGTTTCTGTACCAAATATTAAGTTTTGCTTTTCTGATGTATCAAATACTTATGTCATGCAATAATGCAAATTAATTACTTACAAATCATACAATGTGATTTTCTGGATTTTTGTTTTAGATTCAGTCTCTCACAGTTGAAGTGTACCTATGATAAAAATTACAGACCTCTACATGCTTGTAAGTAGGAAAACCTGCAAAATCGGCAGTGTATCAAATACTTGTTCTCCCCACTGTATAGACATTATGGACAGTATGTTGATAGAATATGTAGAATACACAGACACACACTTCTCACTAAGTCTGAACTGTAACACAGAAGGCTACACTACTAGAATAATAACATAGCTTACTTCTAATGTTGGCCTACACTTGAGTTGGGTTACATTGTAATGTGAAGTTTGGTGTGGCAGGTAGCGTAGTGGGTAAGAGCGTTGTGCCAGTAACCGAAAGGTCGCTGGTTCTAATCTCCGAGCCGACTAGGTGAAAAATCTGTCGATGTGCCCTTAAGCAAGGCACTTAACCCTAATTGCTCCTGTAAATCGCTCTGGATAAGAGCGTCTGCTAAATGACTAAAATGTAAAATATTCTAGTGATGGGAGGATAAACTGCACCATTTCCAGCAAATAATTAGCCAAGACTGAGAATAGAGTGAGCTGCCTGCTAGCCACCTGCACAGCAAGATAGATGGGACACTTTTTCAATTAATTGGTATTTAGCTATGTTCTTCTCAATTGTAGGGCACTGAATTCTGGTGGTTTACACTTGAAATAATAAAAACAATCACAAAATTGCCGTTGGCACAATACAGCCACCGCAGAGCAACGCTACCTCTCGCCCAGAGCGTTACCTCAGCCAATGGCGTCAAGGCAACAAACAATCCCTCACACAGCTAGCTAGCATCTCGTCATGAAAACGGGTGGCGACGTGAATTTGGACCAATCCCTGACAACCCATACAAAATGAAGCTACGAAGCTGTACTTTGCAACCTGCTATGTTTTCTTCGTGTCTCTGAAAACATCTGATTGATAGAAAGGAAAAAATGGTTTACCTTGTTTCAGTCCAAGGACATCTGATGACTGTAAAACACCCTCAGGACTTTCCCTACTTGTTGGCAATACAATGTCACATCACTCTTACTCTGGTAGATTGAGGAATACCAAATCGTAAAGAGCAAATATGAATACACCGATTTTGCGGGTTTCATAAAAAAGGATGTCCCACAGAATTGAACGTTCTTAGCTCGGCACTTGCTTTACATTTCGGCTCATATTGCGTAAATATCATAACGTACAGTACTGGGATTTTAAGACGTGGTTAACAACTTCCACATTCATGTTTTCAAATGATTTATGTATTTTGAGACCACATTATTGACATTTAGTGAAAATTGATTTGATCACTGCTGTTTGTCGTAGAATTCTCGCATAGCATCCATTGTTTGTTGAGTCACCTAACACCCTACCATAAGCATGCATAAAAACGTATTTACATGGAACACAAACTATTAATGAAAAAATGGATTAGAAAACAATGATTTTTTATTGTTAAACATGACTCTGTAAACTTATTGTGTTAGCTAGCTAGCTAGTGGGCAGGTTTGCTGGTGCTGCTGTTGGAAGTACAGGTACGTGCTGACGTATCATCATGCAGGCTACGTTTTCTACTGTGATTGTTCAATAACGAAGGCACCGCTTGAAAAATAGAGCAGAATCCTATTTTCTCACCATTGGCTGAGTGGTTTCCACAGGCACGAGCACCGCTAACCGCTCTGCCTGGATATAATTGCCCCCCCCCCCGCATAGGCTTCATTGAATATGAATGGGCCACCCCGTCTGCTGTGTCAGCGCCTTTAGAACCCCAAGTTTCCTGGGTCATGTTCATTAGGGCACACAACTGAAAACTTGTAAAAACCGTTTCGCAACAGAAAATGAAAATGATTGTTTCTTATTGAACAATAACAAATTGTCCCTCCTTGTTTCAGTCCGTTTTGGTGCCTAATGAACACAACCCAGGTCAGGGCCCCACCTGTATAGCTCAAAATAAAAGATTTGTGAGTGCCCCAAAAAAGTACACACCTGTACGTCGGTGGCGAGGGTCTCGTAGGTGTCCTTGAGGCAGTGCCAGTTCTGTTGGCCCAGGGTGAGGGCTACGCCGGGCAGGCTGAACGCACAGTGCTTGGCAATCTCTGTGTCCACCGTCTGGGCTCGTGCCGGGTCCGTCATGGAAAGGTACTGGTCCAGCAGCTGCTGTGGAATCACATTCTGGAGAGGAAGGGGGGGACAAGAGTAAGAGGAGTGGTTAAAACCTGACACTATCATAGCCATGGCAGCAGCAGCGGTCAGTAGAAAATATGTTAGAGGGCTGGTTTGGCTGCTGGAGTTTCCAAAATTCAACATGTCAAAACTTTGCTAAAGACTTGAGACGAGACGGTCCGTTTAGCCAATCAGAGAACAGTGCGCGAAAGTTACGTGTTTAAGTCAAGCTGACAGTCAACTACCTATTTCTGAGGAGCTTTTTATTTTTTTAAATAACACATACAGTTCCAGTCATAAGTTTGGACACAACTACCCAGGGTTTTTCTTTATTTTTACTATTTTCTACATTGTAGAATAATAGAAAAGACATCAAAACTATGAAATAACACATATGGAATCATGTAGTAACCAACAAAGTGTTAAACAAATAAAAATATATTTTATATTTGAGATTCTTCAAATAGCCACCTTTGCCTTTATGACAGCTTTGCACACTCTTGGCATTCTCTCAACCAGCTTCACCTGGAATGCTTTTCCAGCAGTCTTGAAGGAGTTCCCACATATGCTGAGCACTTGTTGGCTGCTTTTCCTTCACTCTGCCGTCCGACTCATCCCAAACAATCTCAATTGGGTTGAGGTCGGGGGATTATGGAGGCCAGGTCATGTGATGCAGCACTCCTCCATCACTCTCTTTCTTGGTAAAATAGCCCTTACACAGCCTGGAGGTGTGTTGGGTCATTGTCCTTTTGAAAAACAAATGATAGTCCCACTAAGCCCAAACCAGATGGGATGGCGTATCGCTGTAGATGTCTGTGGTAGCCACGCTGGTTAAGTGTGCCTTGAATTCTCCTGAGTGGCGCAGTGGTCTAAGGCGCCGCATCGCAGTGCTAACTGTGCCACTAGAGATCCTGGTTCGAATCCAGGCTCTGTCGCAGCCGGCCGCGACCGGGAGACTCATGGGAGGCGCACAATTGGCACAGCGTCGTCCAGGGTAGGGGAGGGAATGGCCGGCAGGGATGTAGCTCAGTTGATAGAGCATGGCGTTTGCAACGCCAGGGTTGTGGGTTCGATTCCCACGGGGGGCCAGTATAAAAAAAAAAATATGTATTCACTAACTGTAAGTCGCTCTGGATAAGAGCGTCTGCTAAATGACTAAAATGTAAATGTAAAATGTAATTCTAAATAAATCACAGACAGTGTCACCAGCAAAGACCCCCCACACCATAACACCACCTCCTCCAAGCTTTACGGTGGGAACTACACATGCAGAGATCATCCATTCACCCACACCGCGTCTCACAAAGACACGGCAGTTGGAACCAAAAATCTCACATTTGGGCTCCAGACCAAAGGACAGATTTCCACTGGTCTATTGTCCATTGCTCGTGTTTCTTGGCCCAAGCAGGTCTCTTCTTCTTACTGATGTCCTTTAATAGTGGTTTCTTTGCAGCAATTCGACCATGAAGGCCTGATTCACGCAGTCTCCCCTGAACGGTTGATGTTGTCTTTTACTTGAACTCTGTGAAGCATTTATTTGGGTTGCAATTTCTGTCTGGTAACTCTAATGAACTAAATAACTCTGCAGCAGAGGTAACTCTGGGTCTTCCATTCCTGTGGCGGTCCTCATGAGAGCATTTGAAGAAACGTTCAAAGTTCTTGAAATGTTCTGAATTGACTGACCTTCATGTCTTAAAAGTAATGATGGGCTGTAGTTTCTCTTTGCTTATTTGAGCTGTTCTTGCCATAATATTGACTTGGTCTTTTACCAAATTGGGCTATCTTCTGTATACCCCCCCTACCTTGTCACAACACAACTGATTGGCTCAAACACATTAAGGAGGAAATAACAATTCCACCTATTAACCTTTAAGGCACACCTGTTAATTAAAATGCATTCCAGGTGACTACCTCATGAAGCTGGTTGAGAGAAGGCCAAGTGTGCAAAGCTGTCATCAAGGCAAAGGGTGGCTATTTGAAGAATTTCAAAATGTAAAATATATTTAGATTTGTTTAACACTTTTTTGGTTACTACATGATTCCATATGTGTTATCTCATAGTTTTGATGTCTTTACTATTATTCTACAATGTAAGAAATAGTTTAAAAAAATTAAGACAAACCCTGGAATGAGTAGGTGTCCAAACTTTTGACTGGTAGTGTACATAAAACAATAGAACAATTTTAAACTCACCCCACACCCCTTGTCTTTTCCACACTTTGTTGTGTTACAAAGTGGGATTAAAATGAATATAATTGTAATTTTGTCAACAATCGACACAAAATAAAAAAAATAAAACACTAATATATCTTCATTAGATAAGTATTCAAACGCCTTAGTCAATACATGTTCGAATCACCTTTGGCAGCGATTACAGCCGTGAGTCTTTCTGGGTAAAGGCGTCAGTATGCTTCAGTTCGGCTGGTGCCTAGCTGAACGAGTGTGCTCGCATACTCCCTTAAAAGACCTTTGCTTGAAAAACGAGAAAAAAAAGCGTCAATAGTACGGTTTGTCCATTTTGAAACACCATAGCCAGTTTACACTTCCTCAAAATAGTCAGAGTTAATCTAAGATAACTCAAGAAATCTGACATAAATTGACGTTTTTGCCCAAGAGATCTTAGTCGTGCAATTTTACATTTAAGTAAGATGTATGGTGCAGTATTTGTGTACGAAAAAATGTGCATGAAAACGAGTCTTCTCTCGTTGAATGACAAAGACGTTATTGAAGAATCCCTACTGTTGACCAATCACTGACGAAGGGGCGTAGACTTCGGCTCCGAACTTCGGCTTGCCTCCAGAAAATGTTTTGTGTGCCCGAACAGCCAAAAGAAAACTTGCAGAAGTAAAAAATGAACAAAAACATCACAAAATGTTGTCATAATATATGCACAAACTCTAACTAACTGTTTCGGAAACAGGTGGACGCCTTTAGTATCTAACAGCTTTGCACAATATTTGCAATTATTATTAAAATAATTCTTCAAGCTCAGTCAAGTAGGTTGTTGGCCATTGCTAGACAGCCATTTTCAAGTCGTGCCATAGATTTTCAAGCTGATTTAAGTCAAAACTGTAACTAGGCCACATACAGTGGGGAGAACAAGTATTTGAAACACTGCCGATTTTGCAGGTTTTCCTACTTACAAATCATGTAGAGGTCTGTCATTTTTATCATAGGTACACTTCAACTGCGAGAGACAGAATCTAAAAGAAAAATCCAGAAAATCACATTGTATGAATTTTAAGTAATTAATTGGCATTTTATTGCATGACATAAGTATTTGATCACCTACCAACCAGTAAGAATTCCGGCTCTCACAGACCTGTTAGTTTTTCTTTAAGAAGCCCTCCTGTTCTCCACTCATTACCTGTATTAACTGCACCTGTTTGAACTCGTTACCTGTATAAAAGACACCTGTCCACACACTCAATCAAACAGACTCCAACCTCTCCACAATGGCCAAGACCAGAGCGTTGCGTAAGGACATCAGGGTTAAAATTGTAGACCTGCACAAGGCTGGGATGGGCTCCAGGACAATAGACAAGCAGCTTGGTGAGAAGGCAACAACTATTGGCGCAATTATTAGAAAATGGAAGAAGTTCAAGATGACGGTCAATCACCCTCAGTCTGGGGCTCCATGCAAGTTCTCACCTCGTGGGGCATCAATGATCATGAGGAAGGTGAGGGATCAGCCCAGAACTACACAGCAGGACCTGGTCAATGACCTGAAGAGAGCTGGGACCACAGTCTCAAAGAAAACCATTAGTAACACACTATGCCGTCATGGATTAAAATCCTGCAGCGCACGCAAGGTCCCCCTGCTCAAGCCAGCGCTTGTCCAGGCCCGTCTGAAGTTTGCCAATGACCATCTGGATGATCCAGAGGAGGAATGGGAGAAGGTAATGTGGTCTGATGAGACAAAAATAGAGCTTTTTGGTTTAAACTCCACTCGCCGTGTTTGGAGGAAGAAGATGGATGAGTACAACCCCAAGAACACCATCCCAACCGTGAAGCATGGAGGTGGAAAAATCATTCTTTGGGGATGCTTTTCTGCAAAGGGGACAGGACGACTGCACCGTATTGAGGGGAGGATGGAAGGGGCCATGTATCGCGAGATCTTGGCCAAAAACCTCCTTTCCTCAGTAAGAGCATTGAAGATGGGTCGTGGCTGGGTCTTCCAGCATGACAACGACCCGAAACACACAGCCAGGGCAACTAAGAAGCATCTCAAGGTCCTGGAGTGGCCTAGCCAGTCTCCAGACCTGAACCCAATAGAACATCTTTGGAGGGAGCTGAAAGTCCGTATTGCCCAGCGACAGCCCCGAAACCTGAAGGATCTGGAGAAGGTCTGTATGGAGGAGTGGGCCAAAATCCCTGCTGCAGTGTGTGCAAACCTGGTCAAGACCTACAGGAAACGTATGATCTCTGTAATTGCAAACAAAGGTTTTTTTACCAAATATTAAGTTCTGCTTTTCTGATGTATCAAATACTTATGTCATGCAATAAAAAGCAAATTAATTACTTAAAAATCATACAATGTGATTTTCTGCCACCACCATGATTGAAAATATGAAGAGCGGTATTCAATGATGTGTTGTGTTGGATTTTCCCCAAACATAACGCTTTGTATTCAGGACAAAAAGTTAATTTCTTTGGCTTGTTGTAAACAGGATGCATGTTTTGGAATATATTTTATTCTGTACAGGCTCATTTTTGTTAGTTTTGTGGAGTAACTACAATATTGATCCATCCTCAGTTTTCTCCTATCACAGCCATTAAAAACTCTAGCTGTTTTAATGTCACCATTGTGTCACCAAGGTGAAATCCCTGAGTGGTTTCCTTCCTCTCCGGCAACTGAGTTAGGAAGGGCGCCTGTATCTATGTAATGACTGGGTGTATTGATACACCATCCAAAGTGTAAGAAATACAGTATCTGCACCATGCTGAAAGGGATATTCAATGTCTGTTTTATTACCATCTACCAATAGGTGCCCCTCTTTGCGAACCAT